CCCGGGTCTTCGGCGTGACGAGCCAACGCTTTAACCACTAGGCTACCCCACCGCCCCTACAATACAAGGAGGTTTAGGGACAACATCACACAATACAAGAAGGAGGTTTAGGGACAACATCACACAATGCAAGGAGGAGGTTTAGGGACAACATCACACAATGCAAGGAGGAGGTTTAGGGACAACATCACACAATACAAGGAGGAGGTTTAGTTTAGGAGGTTAAGGGACAACATCACACACAATACAAGAAGGAGGTTTAGGGACAACATCACCACACAATGCAAGAAGGAGGTTTAGGGACAACATCACACAATACAAGGAGGAGGTTTAGGGACAATCATCACACAATGCAAGGAGGAGGTTTAGGGACAACATCACACAATACAAGGAGGAGGTTTAGGGACAACATCACCACACAATGCAAGGAGGACGTTTAGGGACAACATCACCACACAATGCAAGGGAGGACGTTTAGGGACATCACCACACAATGCAAGGAGGAGGTTTAGGGACAACATCACCACACAATGCAAGGAGGAGGTTTAGGGACAACATCACACACAATACAAGGAGGAGGTTTAGGGACAACATCACCACACAATGCAACATCACCACACAATGCAAGGAGGAGGTTTAGGGACAACATCACCACACAATACAAGAAGGAGGTTTAGGGACAACATCACCACACAATGCAAGGAGGAGGTTTAGGGACAACATCACACAATACAAGGAGGAGGTTTAGGGACAACATCACACAATACAAGGAGGAGGTTTAGGGACAACATCACACAATACAAGAAGGACGTTTAGGGACAACATCACCACACAATGCAAGGAGGAGGTTTAGGGACAACATCACCACACAATGCAAGGAGGAGGTTTAGGGACAACATCACCACACAATGCAAGGAGGACGTTTAGGGACAACATCACCACACAATGCAAGAAGGAAGGTTAGAACAACATCACCACACAATTCAAGGAGGACGTTTAGGGACAACATCACCACACAATGCAAGGAGGCCGTTTAGGGACATCACCACACAATGCAAGGAGGATGTTTAGAGACATCACCACACAATACAAGAAGGAGGTTTAGGGACAACATCACACAATGCAAGGAGGACGTTTAGGGACAACATCACACAATACAAGAAGGAGGTTTAGGGACAACATCACACAATACAAGGAAGGAGGTTTAGGGACAACATCACCACACAATGCAAGAAGGAGGTTTAGGGACAACATCACCACACAATACAAGAAGGAGGTTTAGGGACAACATCACCACACATACAAGGAGGAGGTTTAGGGACAACATCACCACACAATACAAGGAGGAGGTTTAGGGACAACATCACCACACAATACAAGGGAGGAGGTTTAGGGACAACATCACCACACAATACAAGGCAGGAGGATCACCACACAATAGGGACACACCAGGGATCACCACACAATGCAAGGGAGGAGGTTTAGGGACAACATCACCACACAATGCAAGAAGGAGGAGGACGTCTAGGGACACACACCACACAATACAAGAAGGAGGTTTAGGGACAACATCACCACACAATACAAGGAGGAGGAGGTTTAGGGACAACATCACCACACAATGCAAGGAGGGAGGTTTAGGGACAACATCACACAATGCAAGGAGGAGGTTTAGGGACAACATCACACACATACAAGGAGGAGGGAGGTTAGGGACAACATCACACAATACAAGGAGGAGGTTTAGGGACAACATCACCACACAATACAAGGAGGATGTTTAGGTTTAGGGACAACATCACACAATACAAGGAGGAGGTTTAGGGACAACATCACACAATGCAAGGAGGAGGTTTAGGGACAACATCACACAATACAAGGAGGAGGTTTAGGGACAACATCACCACACAATGCAAGGAGGACGTTTAGGGACAACATCACACAATACAAGGAGGAGGTTTAGGGACAACATCACACACACAATGCAAGGAGGAGGTTTAGGGACAACATCACCACACAATGCAAGGAGGAGGTTTAGGGACAACATCACCACACAATGCAAGGAGGACGTTTAGGGACAACATCACCACACAATACAAGAAGGAAGTTTAGGGACAACATCACCACACAATACAAGGAGGACGTTTAGGGACAACATCACCACACAATGCAAGGAGGACGTTTAGGGACAACATCACCACACAATGCAAGGAGGAAGTTTAGAACAACATCACCACACAATACAAGGGAGGTTTAGGGACAACATCACCACACAATGCACAAGGAGGACGTTTAGGGACAACATCACCACACAATGCAAGGAGGACGTTTAGGGACAACATCACCACACAATGCAAGGAGGACGTTTAGGGACAACATCACCACACAATGCAAGGAGGACGTTTAGGGACAACATCACCACACAATACAAGAAGGAGGTTTAGGGACAACATCACACAATGCAAGGAGGACGTTTAGGGACAACATCACACAATACAAGGAGGACGTTTAGGGACAACATCACACAATGCAAGGAGGACGTTTAGGGACAACATCACACAATACAAGGAGGAAGTTTAGGGACAACATCACACAATACAAGGAGGACGTTTAGGGACAACATCACACAATGCAAGAAGGATGTTTAGGGAGAACATCACACAATGCAAGGAGGACGTTTAGGGACATCACCAATACAAGAACAAAACAAGAAGGAGGTTTAGGGACAACATCACACAATGCAAGGAGGACGTTTAGGGACAACATCACACAATACAAGGAGGACGTTTAGGGACAACATCACACAATGCAAGGAGGATGTTTAGGGACATCACACAATACAAGGAGGAAGTTTAGGGACAACATCACACAATGCAAGGAGGAGGATGTTTAGGGACATCACACAATACAAGGAGGAAGTTTAGGGACAACATCACACAATACAAGGAGGACGTTTAGGGACATCACCCAACAAAACAAGAAGGAGGTTTAGGGACAACATCACACAATGCAAGGAGGACGTTTAGGGACAACATCACACAATACAAGGAGGACGTTTAGGGACAACATCACACAATGCAAGGAGGATGTTTAGGGACATCACACAATACAAGGAGGAAGTTTAGGGACAACATCACACAATGCAAGGAGGATGTTTAGGGACATCACACAATACAAGGAGGATGTTTAGGGACATCACACAATACAAGGAGGACGTTTAGGGACAACATCACCACACAATACAAGGAGGACGTTTAGGGACATCACCACACAATGCAAGGAGGAGGTTTAGGGACTTCACCATACAATGCAAGCAGGGGTTTAGGGACTTCATGACACAATACAAGAAGGAGGTGTAGGGACATCATGACACAATGCAAGGAGAAAGTTTTTTGACATCACCACACAACACACTGAAGGTATTTGAAATGCACAATCTCCCCTGTCTTTTTCCTCAGTATATATATGATGACATGTAACTGTTGTTTGAGGGCCTGACCTAAAATTATTTTCAGATGAATAAAAATCCACAAAGAAAAGGAATTAAATTTTTATCCAAATCTTGATCTGATCTTCCCTCACAAAAGACATTATTTCCATTCAGTTTATTGATTTCTTCTATGTGTCTTTGCTGATTAGCACCATGCTTGGCAATATTCCAGAGCCCTGTACAGCTTGTAAATAATCTAGTCTTATCCTGATCTTGTGACCATGACTCAGATTTTTAAGGTCATTAAAACCAAGTTAACAAGTCTGACCCATTAAGTTTCCTTTCCCAACTAGCATAAGATGTTAAGGATTACAAGCAGGAATTTCTTCTGAGATGTAAATGACATCTTCTTGAGTGGGTATATTCTAATGGAGCTGTAAACAGTCTTCTGACAATATCATGACAGGTGGTTCCAAGAATGGTTACATACATTTACTCCAATAGAGACCTGAACATATTCTTTGGTAAATTAGAAAAACAATCAAGAAGAAGTACCTATCTCCACCCTGTCAAGATTCATTGAACAAATCATGTAGGTCATCTTCATTTTCAAAGCTATGTACCCGTAAAGATCTGGGTTAGAATACGATCTTTAGCAACACATGCTTGCCGTAAGAGGTGACTAATGGGATCGGGTGGTCAAGCTCACTGACTTGGTTGACACATGTCATCGTATCCCAATTGCGTAGATCGATGTTGATAACTGGATTGCCTGGTCAAGACTCGATTATTTACAGACAGCCACCATATAACTAGAATATTGCTGAGTGTGGTGTAAAACAAACAAAACAAATCAAAGCCATTTGCTTGAGATTACTGTTCAGTCTATTTATTATTATTATTATTTTAAGTATAATCTCTCCCATTAACGAAACATTAATGAGGATATTAATGATTTGGCCACAATACTTGACATGTTTAAGAATGGTTTTTTTTCTGTACTCTAAAGGTATGAAAATGGTTGATCATCATTGCAGCTATTCTTCCATTGTCTGGAGAAGAAGCACTGAGAAATGGGAAGCTTTCTTCGTTATTCCATTATGTATTGCATTATGATGGCAGACTTTTCAAATCTGTTCATAGGAGTGAGTGAGTGAGTTTAGTTTTACACCGCTTTTAGCAATATCTTCTTAAGGATCCTTGTGAGGATGGGAAATCCACAATAACTCGGGGCACCATGTGGCAGCAAGAGTTGTATACTCCCCAGGGAGCTGAGACTGATAATAAGATGTGCCGTTGAGATTGACATCCAATGATCGAGGGAAAAAATACCAGCGCCTTGAGCATGCACTAGTGCGTGGATATGTATGCTATATAAATATCCAGTAATAAATAAAAATAATATTCCAGCAATATCACGCCAGGGGACACCAGAAATGGGTTTCACACATTATACCCATGTGGGGAATCAAACCCGGGTCTTCAGCATGACAAGCGAACGCTAGGCTACCGCACCGCCCCTCTGGTCAAAGGAAGGTCCAAGAGCATAAAACAACACACACAAAAAGAGTTTGTTTGTAATATTAGTTTATTAAGGTTTTATATAATACATATTTCATATTCTATCTTTTGTCTTCCATGTTGCCCATGTTCAGTTATTCCATTTGTGATTTCAACCGCAGATACTGAAATACAAAAACATATTAAGATAACAGTTTCCTAATCCTAAATTTTGTCGTCAATGATAATGCATATTGCTGCTCAAAAAGTTACTATATGAGGGACATTAACATAAATCTCCAGTAAAATCATTCCAAGATTACAATGATGTATGTATAATTAAACCCATGTCAATTTAAGTTCACCTATGTAATATGCAATATAATGAGTCTGATTATGTGCAGTATAAATTATATATTTCACAGACACAAAAGAAACAACATACATAATGATGGTTATTGCTCCTTAATATATGTGAATCTGAAACCCACAATCTATAGTCATCTCACATTTTTCCTGCTGTTGATGGCTTGCTGTACCCAGAGCAGTTCCATGGCAATGTTCTTCCTGACCTCCAGTATGGATGCAGAGTTGATGTCTTTGACTTCCTCCCTTTCTGAAACAGTCAACATGGAAAATTAGCACATAATCTGACACCAGTATAATTGCACACCAGGGCCCTTATTCTCGAAACGTTTGTAGCCCTAAGAATTCTTAACTTTGATCGTAGCCAATGTGTTGAGAATGGGCATAACAAGTTTGTAGGGCTACGAACGTTTCGAGAATAGTTAGCCTGTTTCTTTGGCTTCAATACTTCAGTTGAGGTCCACTAAAATTGTTGTCGGGGGTTTAGTTTGAGTCTCGAAAAAATCCATGTTTCTGATGCATAACTACTGAGCATTGAATTCTAATTTGGGAATTTTGATTGTGTTCCTGCAGATGAGGTTCTGGTTATTAGACTCTTATGAGGAAACAGCACTAGTCATAGTACTGCTAATTACAGATAGGATTTGCTTTGCTTGTTTTGGTGTTTACACAGCTCAGGGATAGGCATCCAGCAAGCACAAATGTATAAATCGGATGCAGAAAAAAATTATACACTTTAGTAATTCTTGAGAAGTATACTGTGAGTAAGGATTCTTAAATCATACAGTAAACAGAATTTCCATATTTCTTGAAATTAGTTACAAGGGGTACTCAAGACCCTTAGTTCTGTACGCCAAAGTAAAACCCTGTTTTGTTATGATAAACAAAACAATGCAGTTTTGATTATGAATACATAATAAGGAGAATGAAAAAGCTACTTTGTTTTGAAATTAGAGGCAGTAAAATCCAATTATGAAAGCTCTAAATTTAATTTAAAACCAAACATGTTAGCTAACTAAGTACATTAGTTTCAGTTAAGATAATAATTCCAAGGTAACACATGACTGACCTGGTTTCATTCTGGAGTCCAGCTGACTTTCCCAGATCGATGTGACCTCAGTGAAGGAGGAGGTGTCACTGTCACCGTCGTGGTCTTGATGGCGAGGAACACTTGCAGCATTTGGAGTCTCTCCATCCATCACCACTTGTGCTGTTTTCTTGGCGTGTAGTTTCACTGGTTGTTCAGATGATGTTCCATGTACTGGTAGATCTACTGACTGACAAGCCATGGGGGATATGTTTTGGTTATTCACTTTTGAACATGTCCCATCTGTACTATGGTTGTACATTTCATTATGTAAACAACAAATGTCAGTGCCATGAGGTAGTTGGTGAAGCAAATCACCTTCAGCGTTGGTTTGTATTTCAACTGTCTTCACTCTTGTATCAATATCGCTGACTCTGTCAGTCACTTCACCCTGGCTCTCTCTATTTAAAACTTTATTACTGTTGATCTCTGGAGATGAAGCATTTTGTGTGTGGTCAAAATTGACCAATTTCTTGTGCTTAATAAATTTGGGAAAAGAAGGGCTGGTTCTTTCCCAGATGACAGATGGAGTCTTGTTTGATTCAATATGCTTCACAAGGCCCAAGTAGGTGTCTCTCAAAGTCTTCATTTGTTTCCGAACAAGATAACCTCTAAACTGAGCCTGGAACAAATGTATGTTGAGATGTATAATTGATAACAAGAGAAAGTGGATGTCAAGAATCAAGTCACACAGTTAATTAATACTGTTTTGTTATGAAGGATTGGGTTGGCAACAATTTATACTGCAGCTATATATCTAATCATAGGATTTTGACAACTTTGAAAACTACATGTCAACAATCCATGATACCAGAATGTGGTGACAGATCTCACATTGTAATCACTGAATACCAATTTTGTCAAGAACAGGAGCTAATGGGATAAAGGTTATATGTAGGGGTGAATATTGAGAGGGAAACAACTATTGCGATAGTGATAGTCTATTGCAACATACTATTGCGATACCGATAGTCTGTTGCAACCAACTATTTCAGTACTATTGGAATAGTTTTTTCTCCTTGAATTGTCTCATTTGAAGTTATTTCCCAAATGAATGTATAGTTTATATGAAATAGAAACAAGCTGAAGCTGTTTCAGTCTCTTTTAATGACTGACAAGAAACTTGAAACCCAGATCAAGTAAAGAGTTAACAGGTAACAGGGGCAGATAACTCTAAATCAAACTGAATGAATCTGGTACTTTTGTATATTGTGCTGCACATTTATCAACGGAAGTCAATTACTAAACTATCGATAATCACACATACTATCGATGCATCAATAGTTTTTCGTTTCTACCATCGATTAATAGTAAATGGAGACTCAACAATAGCAATCCATCGATAGTTTGATGCATCATTACTGCCCTAGTTATCTGCATTCATGAACAGATTGTATATTGTGTTTTGTTTAACACCATACTCAGCATTACTCAATCTTGAATTGAAGCCTATAACTAATAAAGTTTGGACTGGAAAATGTCTATAGATCTATAATCATGGATTCTGACCACCCAATCACACTTCGTCAATTTGGAAAAGCATTTGTTTTGAAACTATTCTGGGCCCACTATTCTAACCTGAATCAAATCATTTGACAAATGGCCTTAATGGGTGAATTCGGAACCGGGCATTATGCTATTGGAATACAAGCAAATTTACTGCGATGTCTATTTTTGTCGTTGCGATGCCACCAATTGCAGTACTTCCAACAATTTCCAAAGACTAGATTCCTTGTTTTGGTTGTAACTTGTGTCAACATGTTCCGTTTATCACAGATGTTATACAAAATATTTCCTGCGATTCTGTACTTCTCTTAATGAAGTTCGTATAGATCTTAATCGAACGAGCTAAGTAAGATACCTGCAGTTTTATTATCGACGATGTATCATAATTCTCCAAGTCAATACAAGAATCATTCAAACTGCACTCCATTTTCAAGCGTTGGTGTAGCCGGGAAACAAAGTTACTTATAAAACTAAAACTTCCGGGAGTATCACAATCCGAACAATTAATTAGCAAAATACAGAGTTGAATTAAATATTTTTACATCCAGCAATACTCTCGGTTGCCATCGAGAGTTCAAAGAGTTTAATACACTTGATCTCGTACGTGCATGTTGAAAACAGCACATAAAACAAATATACTTCTGTGACAAGTTTTTGAATATCCCAAGCACTTGCAGTTTCCGGTTTCAAGATGGACGATGAAAGTGTGGGAAGGCTACTGAAAGAGGGAGAGGCCCCCGAAATTCCAGAAGTCAAATATGAATGTAAGCTTTGTTTTATGCTATATTGTAGGCCTAATAATTTTCTTAAGTGTTGATTTTGTTCATGGAGGGTGATATTACTGTTTTGCCGAATGATCATTAATAATCTTACAGGGGGTTGTGCAATTTGACAAGATTGTCCCATTTTCGATCACGGTGCAATGTCTATATTGTTCAGTACTTTCGTGAGGTATCTACTGCCTTTGAAAAGTCAATTATAAAAATGAATATCTATGGTACTTACAGAAAACATGATTGATTGACTCCAGTGATCTTACAATATATCATACTTAGAATAACATTAACATACGGACAACAACTTTCCTGAATCTTAGGGTAAGACTTCCGCTCGTATCCCCCTAAATTTTAACGATGAGGAAACATTTATTTGAGTGGCACTTATAAAAGTTGTATATGTCTTTTAGTATGTTCAAATATGATTAAAGAAACATGTTAAAGTCGTCCTTATCAGAGGAGGAATATATATTCAGGTGATATGATTTGACTAGAATGAAATTTAGGGGGAGGATACGTGCAGAAGTCTTTCCGTACAAGAGTGAGTGAGTGAGTTTAGTTTTATACCGCCCTCAGCAATATTCCAGCTATACAGTGGCAGCTCTGCAAGAAGGTTTGGGAATATATCATGGCTAGTGTTCACTCCCCCTCATTGTTTTATGAACACAAATGCCATGACATTTGATTTTACTGGTATACCTCTATTCTGGGAGATTCTACATGATGTAGTTTCCAGGTTACACAGGGCTACAGATAAGGGGCGTACAGGCGTAATATACGCCTAAAATTCAGTGAAGTATGATATAATATAAGATTTCAAGCGTATCATGTACGCACATAAATACCTTTGTACGTCTAACATATATAAAATTTAATAGCTGAAAAGTTGTTTAATATTATAAATAACAAACCACATCACCAACTTGCTCACACAAAAACATGTCAGTACTCCTTCAAAATTCTCAGTATACCTCCATTTGCAATTTGAGGTGTAAGTACACCCACACCCCCTAAAGTTATCTGGAGCCCTGTTACATAAACTCTGTCTTTGTAGGTGAAAAGTCCTCCTGACAACCTTTGTCAATGTTTCTGTGAAGTGCATGTCTTGAAATGAAAACTAAAACACCAAACCAACAATCAAATGTTTTGGAACCCTTTTGACATTTTCCTTCAGAATATGTCATGACAATTTATTTATTTTACTTAATCTTGTTGTATGCATGTGTAATAACATTTTATTTTATTACTACTGTATGAGTATGAGCAATGTGAGTCATGTCAAACATTCACACAGCCGTTTTGGATTATTTCAGATTTGGACCATACAGCTGATGTCCAGTGAGTTCCACACATCAACTGCAGACACTGTTAATAGGTGTTGTTAAGTCAGTTAGTGAGTGAGTTTAGTTTTATGCCACACTCAGCAATATTCCTGCTATAGGTGGCTGTCTGTAAATAATAGAGTCTGGACCAGACAATCCAGTGATCAACGACATGAGCATCGATCTACACAGTTGGGATGCGATGACATGTGTCAACCACATCAGTGAGCCTGACCACTAGTCGCCTCTTATGACAAGCAAGGTTACAGAAGACAATTCTAACCCGGATCTTCATGGGTCGAGTTTTGTCAAAGTAGTAATCTTGATGACAACATGTTTCAATATCACTCAGTTCATGGTGCTAGTATGATGATACTGGTAGTGTGCTGGCAGATTATTTCCAAACACTTTCTGTGGAACCAACTTAGGAAAAGTTATTTCCTGAATTAAAATGATTTGTTATGTATATTTATACAGTTCTGATAATGAGATTGTTTTGTTATGTTTCAGATTGCATACATGTATCCTTCATAGCATATCTAGTAGAAAGCATGCCAGGGCGAAAACATATCTTAGATCTTAGAAACTTTACAGTTAATTTGTTTTTGATGCCATATATTAAAAAAGATTTTAAAAAAACTGCTAGAAGTTTAGATTTGAACAACATTATGTTTCATGAGCTTTTATTTTTGGTTTACATAGTTTACAAAACCACAGACACAATAATTGTTACAAATGTGGAATAACGTTTTATATCTTATTATTCACTGGACCTGGTATCAAGTTTTGGACATTATAATCACATTAAAGAAATCAATTTGATAAGGGATCATATATTGTATTTTTGTAACTGCAACATGTACTATCCTTAACTCAGACAGGGGGAGATAATCAACAAGAAGCATTTGAACAGGTAATTCCACTTCTTTCACAGTGATGAGAATGCCTATGATTTGGGAGGAGTATTTTTTTCTCTGCATCTATTCTCTGAGTCCCAACTAAAAATCTTCAGCTTTTCTTTGAGTGGCACTAGAGCAGTACCACCTGGCATTGCTACTGAACTTATTGTGATGTAAGATGATCTCACAATGTAAAAACAACTGAAACAACAGGTTGTTGTGGGTCTGTGGACCATGTTAGTCACTTGTGTGTATAGACACAACATGGTGTCAGCATGCCATAATATGACATATGTTTTGTATATTATGCAAGCACTTGTGGGTTTGTGGATGCATGGCTACCCACCTGACCATCGTGGAACTCCTCTCAGCCCTGGTGTTTGTATCTGATGTAATCTCTGATTTCATGTGAAAATTGTTCCCATTGTGTAACTGATATTGAATGTGGCATGTGTGGTCTTGGCTAGTATTTGAAAACATCAAATATGTTAACAGGTATCTCATATAGGAGGGCGTTAGGGTAGCCTAGTAGTTAAAGCATTCGCTTGTCACTCGGGTTCGATTCCCCACATGGGTACAATGTTTGATGCCCATTTCTGGTGTTCCCAGCTGTGATATTGCTGGAATATTGCTAAAGGCGGCATAATACTAAACTCACTCTGACATACCATATTTTCTGTAGTAAGTGACCTGGGGCACTCTAAAAATGGATAACTGTGGCCTTCATATTAAAACCAAAAATGACCAGTTAATTTACTTAACTTTTAAGTTAACATTTGGTTAACATTTCTGCTGCTGTTTTCGGAACAAATTCCTACAATTCAAACTTATCTATAGACTCATGTACTAGCAATGGCGATAAAAATTACAAAAGATTTGTTGAGAAGTTGGACATTCCACTTACTGGAGCAGTCCATCATCAGTCTGTTTTATCCTTTTGATTACCATCAGGCTAGGAACTGGTGACTTATGCAGCAATCATCGTGCACTGGTTTTAGAGAGTTTTCCCTTTGTGTATCTGTGACTTATTGTGTATATCATGATCAATGTTTATAGGGAGGGCGGTAGGGTAGCCTTTGTAGTTAAAGCGTTCGCTTGTCACTCGGGACAATTCCCCACATGGGTACAATGTGTGAAGCCCATTTCTTGTGTCCCCCACCATGATATTGCTGGAATATTGCTAAAAGTGGTGTAAAACCTCACTTACTCAGTCACTGCTGTATAGGCTTGACCTGTGATTTTTCATGTTTTTATCATGTGTTTATGGAAACAGTTGTACTCCTGTACCTATTTCTCTTAATTTCTAACAAATGCCCCTGCTCATTCAATTCTTTCTTCTCAGTTGTTTTGTCAAGATATATATGTTTTTGTCCATGTAATTGTTAGCAACAGGATTGTTTTAGATATTCCCATATGAATATCTTTGTACCTCTTAGGACAGGCTAATTTTGTGGGGTGGGGGAAAAGATCTTGATCAGTTAGATAATAAATAAATGGTCGGTAGATGAGGAAAAAAATGCTATAAAAAGCATTTACAGGATTTTAAAATTATATTTACATTTGATTTTGTCAATTTGCAATATGAACAGGTTTTCAAACTCTTCTTTTATCAGATTGCCACTGCGATGTTCAACTACATGACCACAGACTATGACACTGTGGAGATGCTAGAAGTTCACGAGATTGAGGCTGAAGGTGAGGGGAGATATGAGTTTACATTTTAATAAAACTATTGCTGGAGAGGAATATCATTATCAAGCAAGTCCACTACTACATACAACCTTAACTGCAGAGCCATGATAGGCTATATGAAGTAACGTAAACAATGCAAAGACGTGTTTATTCAAGAGTCTTTGTTTAGTGTTTTGACTCAATTTCTTTGGTTTATGACCTGGTTTCTCCTGTTTTCACTGATGGGTGGCATTTCCTTGATTGTAGGTGCCATTATGTGTCATGGAGAGCAATGAAGTGCCATGGTATGTCATATATGTTTCCATGGTTATTGCAGGTGAAGATATGATGTCACTCTTATTCCACTTCCTAGATGAATTCCTCTTCCTATTTTCTGCAGAGCCATACATTATACCGAGGGTAAGATGCTTTCAAATTACTAGACATTTAAGTGTTAATAGCTCTGTTGGGCCTGTTTAAGCATTAATAGCTCTGTTGGACCTGTTTCAGCATTAATAGCTCTGTTGGACCTGTTTCAGCTTTAATAGCTCTGTTGGACCTGTTTCAGCATTAATAGCTCTGTTTGGCTTGATTAACCATTAATAGCTCTGTTGGACCAGTTTAATGGGATGGTACCCTATCCCATTTATTCATTCTATTTCTTTATGCTAAATAATATGGACCCATTCTCCATGAAAGCCTCCTTTCAGGGTGACCTCACCATTTCCATCTCTCTTAGCACAAGGGTTCTCATGAATGTAATCTGATTGGATGGCTGTTCTTAGCGAAGTCTCTTTTGAATATGGTTCTAAACATAGCTAATCCTCATTTTCCCCAGCTTGTACTGGATAGGGTACTGAGAGCTTTACACAGAGTTTGCTCCTTAACATGGCCAGTCTTTACAATCACATTTGTTTAAAAATTATTGTTTTGTGTCTAATTTTTCAGGTAGTTAAAATTACAGAGTTTGATAAAGAAAACTTTAGGATCAAAGCTGAAGGGTAAGTCAGCTTATAGTTATTTACAGAAGATGTCTACTCTCATCACCCTTAGCATAACATTCAGAGGATCAAGATAATCTGAAATATTCTTCATAAAGAGTTTTCTATGCTCTTTGCTGTGTAGCATCTGTTTTGAGATGATAAATTTTGTCAGATTATGTAATTGTTATCATTATTACTTTTCCTTCACATATTGCAGGTATCATAATTGTATCTAATTCTATTTGCAGCTATGGTGAACCTTTCGATATATCTAAGCATCCCCAGGTAAATTTGTGCATTACACTCAGTGTGGCAATGGTGACAGGTTATAATGTTAATATCTGTATGATTTACATCATTGTATGTGTAGTAGTTGTCAAAATACATCTTAATGTGTATGGTGATTTCTTTACTCTCCGCTGTTAGCAGCTTTTTATGTGTTTCTGTAAGGGGATAAAATCAGGGAAGGGTCACCCAAAAATATGTAAGGGTGGGTAAATTAAGAAAATACATATGTTTGGCTTTCTTGACATTTTCTTGTTTTTTTCTTGTCAGCTAGTATTATAAATTGTACATGCATGTTGAGAGGGCCAACCAAAAAATATGAGAAGTATTAGGGGAGAGTCTATTTTCAGTACATTGGTGCATCTAAAATCTCTGCCACACCCAACCCCTGTAATGAAAGAGTCTTACCCTTCATGCCTGGGTTACTGCCAGCGCGTGCCACAGGCCGAGATTCAACATTCCTGCTGTTACTTACTACAGCAGATTTTGTTATCATAGTTGATAAAGACTGATGGTTGATGAAGGTACTGGCTTGTGTACAGAAATATTACACAGAAAGCATAAAGAAGCTGAAATCCTTGTTTACTGGGTCTTCGTTGATACTACAGCTTCCAACATGATAAGCCGATCTCATAGATAAACCTACTTGCATAGGCTCCGGTCAGTGTGTCCCGACATGACCATGATACAATGCTTGGCATAGTATGTTGCACTAGCCAATTAGTGAATCCTTGAAGGGACACCTCGGTGGTCTAGAAGATAAAGCATCTGCCCTGAGAGCAGAAGGTTGGTGGTTGAATCTCTGGCAAAAGCATGAAAAGAAGGTAGATTTTTGTTGCCCTGTCTGCCCCATTAACCTTGAAGGGCTGAAACAGGACTGGGCAGTATAAGTCCGTAAACAAAGTCTGAGGAAACTATCAGTGTTGAACTGCCTGCAGTAGCACCATAGGCGGATTGTGTGTGTGTGTGTGTGTGTGTGTGTGTTTTGCAGGGGTGCATCCCCTTTTGTCCTGAAAGTTTATTAAATTACCATTGAAATGAAGTGTGCACCCTCCCTTTTCTCAATAGTGCACCCCACCCCCTTTCTCAAAAGCTGTATCCGCCCCTGAGCACCAATCATAATAATCAAACCGTAGTTCTTGCTTCCGTTTGTAGTGTAGCATCAACTGGCACTAAGATCAAATTTAATTAGATTGGACTAGCACAAACAGCCACAAACAAACATGCATGAATTATATTACTTAAGTCCTGCCTTGGATGCAATGTTAAAATTTCACCCCACTATTATTGATTATACCAAAGTGGTTAAGGCTAAAACAAGAAAGTGTTGAAGGGAATGTGTTAATGGTATGTTGTGTGTGGACACTGAGACCTACTGTTGTTGCAGGGGACAGAGGTCAAGGCCATCACATACTCCAACATGCAGATACACGAGAAGGAAGATAAACATGACCTGTTTGTCATCATCGACATCTAGTTGGAGGAGCAGCAGGCTGCATGTATAAGACTGTTTGATACCAAACACTATACCAATATTCCACCTGTATGATGGTGGCCTGCAAACAATTGAATCTGGACCAGACAGTCCAGTGGTCGATATTGTGAGCATCGACTCTACTCCATTGGGGTATGATGACACACAATTAACCTAGTCACCAATGCTGACTAATGCTGAAACAGCATAGATTGTTTGAGGTCAGTTCTCACCCCACACGTCCTCATCAAATAAGAACCCATCCAGTTTGGGACAGTTCGAAGATAATCAATATTTCCATGTCAACAACTGGAACTGAAAACAATTATTAACCATGTCAAGAGCAAACTTATTTCTTCTTTATTTTATATATTTTATTTATTCATCTTCTGTGATGAATCTAGCAAGGAAGTTTTTAGATGATAAGAAAACCTAACAGCAAAGATAATAAAATATTTTTAAGGCATGAATCTTGGAATAATTTCAATTTTTGTTCTGACAAATGTACAGTCAGACTCATGTGTTTTAATTAGAAAATAAACAGATGAGACCAATTCTCACATTACTCAAATTAACTGATTACAATTACAATTGAGTAAATACTGACATCAGTGCATTTATATTCCATGTGACTATGAAACAGCTTAATAATATATCTCTGGTTGCAGAAACCTACTTTTGTTAGGCGTATTTTTATGAATTCAGAAATGAATTTCTATTCTGCAGTAAAACAAGATTCACTGTCATCTCATATGGGAAACATGTTTTTTTCTTGGTATTTCGTCAGATGTTTGCCTGGGGATGCCTTCTGGATATTCCAACACAAATAGCTTTAAGTGCAAATAGGTTTAATATTAAGTGTATGGTATGACAACAGAATACAACCACTAGTCTTGTTATGATTTCACCAAAATAACCCAGTTTTCTTTTAGACTGGCTGCTATAGTCTGTTTCCTGAAACCTTCCCAGGTTTGATGTATAGCTTACTGTTTTGAGCATGTTGGACATACCACTCTTGTGCCTTGAGTCAGGGTTATCCTTACTGTGTCCAACCTTACTCTAATGGAGGATGGCTCTTCTTCAAAGTGGAAACATTTGTCATGAGTGAGTGAGTTTAGTTTTATGCCGCTTTCAGCAATATTCCAGCAATATCACGGTGGGGGACACCAGAAATGGGCTTCACACATTGTACCCATGTGGGGAATCGAACACGGGTTTAACCACTAGGCTACCACACCAACCCATATTTGTCACTTCTGTTATACTAGGGGCGGTGGTGTAGTCACGTGGCTAAAGTGTTCGCTCATCCACCAAAGAACCGGGTTCAATTCCCCACATGGGTACAATGTGTGATGCCCATTTCTGGTGTTCCCAGCTGTGATATTGCTGGAATATTGCTAAAGGCGGCATAATGCTAAACTCACTCTGACATACTGTATATACTGTAGTAAGTGCCCTGGACACTCTAAAAATGGATAACTGTGGCTTTCATATTAAAAATGAAAATGACTAGTAAATTTGCTTAACTTTTAAGTTAACATTTGGTTAACATTTCTGCTGCTGATTTCTGAACAAATCTCTACAATACAAAATTACCTATTGACTCATGTACTAGCAATGGCAATAAAAGAGATTTGTAGAGAAGTTGGACGTTCCACTTACTGGAGCAATCCCAGGGATTTACCTTCAGTCCTTATTTTAAGGGTCCCAGGGACTCATACTCTTAAATTTCAAGGGTCCTGGACAACAAAATGGGGGTCCAGACACTTAAATATTATTATTAATACTGTTATTGTATTGTGCATCATGATTATCACATTATTTGTTACAGTAATTGAATTGCAAATGATACCATAACTTAGCTAGTAGCAAACTCTTGACTGGAATGTTTACAAAAAGTATTTGGACTTTTTCTGCGTCCCTGTGGATGCGCTAATAACTTTTGTTGCATCCATTATCAATTCGTGTCCTGTAAATCCCTGCAATCCATCATCAATCTGTTTTACCCTTTTGATTACCATCAGGCTAGGAACTGGGGACTTATGTAGCAATCATCATACGCTGGTTTTAGAGAGTTTTCCATTTGTGTATCTGTGACTTATTGTGTATATCATGATTGACCTTGACACCTGTTTTATACAGTAAACATATGGGAAAGTATTTGTTGGTGATTATTTATTCAGTTCAATCGTAACAAGTACACATACACACATATTAATATTCCTTCCAGATGTCAAGGTTGCCATCCATGGTTGAGTTGGGATGTACTTATCCATGCAGGCAGAAAACTGACTTCATGAAAGGACAATAAAGGCTGGAAGAGGTTGTTGTTTTGGTCCAAGCCTGAACATGCTGAAGTTTTTGTCAGCACCAATATTGTAACTGATGGCAATTGATATCCAAACCATTTTATCTTGTCTGGATAATGTTGTGCCTTTTTAACAAATGGACGTGTATCTGATGGGTGGTAAATTCATCATTCACAGTCCCAAACCCAGGGTCACACACTGCAGTAGATGGATAGGCTTACTGCAGAAATGAGAGGAAATGTCTAAACAGTTTCACTACTTATCACACCAAAACATTTCAAACATCATCATTGTCTGCACCAGAAAATGGTTTATTACAACATGCCTGAAGACAACCACCCACTTCAACTGACCACACATATCTTCATCAAGATATTACTGCTGGCACTGAAATCATCTCCATCACCACAAGGAATCCAAGTTCCAGTAATGGCTTGCTCCATTTGAGCAGACCCTCCCAGCTTCATTCATGCAGGAGGAGGTTAAATTCAGCTTCCAATTTTTTTTACTCCATATATTGACATATTGTGTCTTTTTATCACAATGCAGTAATTGATCATCCATTCTATCATGAAAATACACTGGACTGATACACCACCACAGCTTAAATTCAGAAGTGAAATCACCACCTCCACCACTCGTATCTCTTGTGTAATTCACTGGAGGGCTGTTTATAGTTTGGTGTCTGTCAACTGGGCTCATGACAGAGTTGTGGAGGCAAAAGTGTCCTGTGGATTTATCAAAACAGAATGGACACGGTATTCAAGGATGCCTCAATCAACTAAATTGATTTCAGGAAGTTATTGAACTTAAAGACTGAGACTTTGGCCACATTTTCACAGAAGGCCAGGTCCGAGCCAGTGACTAGAGCATTCAGTGACACATAGTTCTCCTTGGTGGGTTCATACTGAGCCCGGTCCACGCTCAGCAGGAAGCGATGCCTCTGTTGGATGATGTGGAGACGACAGCGGAACACCTGCGGCCACTCCACCAGTTTGTTGTGGGACATCTCCATTGTGTTGTAAAGGTAGTCAAACTTTCTACCAAGGCCGTACTTGTCTGAAATACAAGAAGTGAGTCATTTGACATTATTCATCGCAGGGGACACCAAGACCAGACTGGACACAAACCTATTCTTTGGTGTAACAAGCCAATGCTTTTACCAACATGCCACCCAGAAATGCGTGAATGTTGTTTTACGTCACAGTTGTCAGGACAACAGCTATATCATAACATCCTGTTGGTAATAGTATGTAGTTTGGTTGAGCGGTGTCTCGTGATTGTAAACTCTTGCTCATCATGTGACACATGCTATAATCCAAAATGGACTTCATACTGTAGCAGATGTGGAAAGACCTGGCTTGAGAGATCGCAACCCGTCTACACACTTCTTGACCCTCAGTTTGAACACAAAACCAACAATCTGAGATTACTAAACTTCAGGAAGGACAGACTGGTGGACCACTTTTTCTATTTTGATGATGAAACCTTGGCAGCAGATAATTTATTTCCAATCATCCAATACTGATAAATGAAACCTCATCACCTGCCATGTTGACATGGTTGAGGAGCCATGTTAGAATGAACTACAAGAGAAGCAAACGAGACACATTAATGAACTTCAGTCATTAAACCATAACTTCACACAACTTGAGTACATTACTATTGGAAACAAAATCACTTCTGTACTAAATATTGGATTACATTACATGCAAGCAATCTGTGAAATACTTACTGGTCAAAATATAGTTTGGGATATTTCACAAGCATCTGCTTTAATTCTGCATCAGAAAACCCAAGGAATTCCTTGATGTAGAATCTGTTATCCTGCAACACATATGGCAGTTGTTACTGGGGTTATCATGGTTACCATGGTTACCAATCACATCAAAATCAGATCTTGGTTCTCATTCCCACAAAACTTTGTTTAGCAGTAGTGAGTACTAATGTCTGATTACAATGAGATTGCGTGGTTGCAGACACAAACAGTAATATATCTCATGACACTCTGTAATCTCTGCAAACACATTCATTCTCGACAACAAAAATGAAACAACAATTTTGAACATACTTTTCCAAATGCACACCTAAAACATCTTTGTGAGTGCACTGTGGCAAACTTGAAATTAAAACAAATTGAAATCTTGTCCCTGTGCACATAATACATACACTGAAGTAATTTTACTTTTCATCCATCTTTGGTGACATACGTTTCATTATGAGCTAAATATGTAGTGGTAATTCATTAAGTTTGTCTAATGAGGTAGATATGTTATCATTTTGTCCAGAAAACCTTTACAAAAACACTTATCACTGGCTTCATATGATATACATCATCAAGGCGAAACGAAAACAGCCCACTGAAATGTGTCACTGTCACTCCAAAACACGGAAATCAGAACCCTAGTCTTTAAAATTCAATGTGGGATTTGCACATGAAATATTTTCTAAAAACATCATAATACAATGTATTTCAATGAGACTATTTTGGTTGACAGTTTGAAAAAACCTTGATCTGAACTTCTCAATTTGATAGAATATATACATCACATTCAAGGCAGTAATAATGTTTAATTTTCTCTTTGTTGCAATAAACTGCTTCAAGAGACATTGATGACAGATAACATAGCTCCTGTAGTCTCAGCTGTGGGAGGCTCTTGGGACAACAAAATATTTCAGAGTATGTCACCATGGTAACTGGTGTTCCTCGCAACAACTTGCCTTGAGTTTCTGTAGATTCCATGTGGCCAGCTTAGGCAGTCTTGTTATCACAGCCCTCACCTCGTTCCCTGGAACATACAGCAGGACCAGAAATCTAACACTGTCATACTGTATATTACTTCTATATGCACATTGTTACATGCAGCTTCCAGGATTTTACCAGGCTGAAAATATTGTCAGTCATGTGCAATGCAAAAGCATGGATTGAGTAAATGTATCATTTTTGGAGATTACATATAATCTAGTTATACGACTTTGATATTATGTTAAATACATCATACAAAGTTTGGGATTTAACATTTAAAATTACAATATTGTAAAAAATTAATACTCAACAGGCATCATTGTTTGCGGTAGTGCAGTAATCACAACAAAATGGGGACAGTCAACCAAATTGTGTACATCAATATAAAAGAGCTGCATCACATAACTAAATGTGAAACTAGTTACACTTAGCTGAATGTTAAAAAAACCCCTGAAAACAACAGTCATAATTTACCATAAAATACATTATCCTGTTTATTTTTTCCTGCTAAATACTCTGGACCCATTTCTAACAAAACCTACTTTAGCTCATCTTTTCCATCTCTCTGGGCACAGGGATTCTCTCTCTCATATGGATGTAATCTGACTGGAGCCTTTTCTTAGTGAAGTCTCTTTTGAATATAATATAGTTCTAAACATTTTCCCTTACAGAATAGGGGTCTAATACACTTGATAATCAAGGCTGATGTTGACCTGAGCTTTTATTCTCGAAACGTTCGTAGCCCTAAGAATTCTTTACTTTGATCGTTGCCTGTGTGTAAGGAATGGGCTTAAGAAATTCGTAGGGCTACGAACGTTTCAAGAATAGCTAGCCAGGTCCACATCTAATTACCTGTGAGTCGGTACTCCTGCTGCAAGTATCCCAGCTTGGCATCAACCATCTTCACTGGCATCAATAGGAACACATGAGCCTTGGATACTATGCGGGCTATTGACTCTTTGGAAAATTTCTTGGATTCCATATAGTTTATCCTAACTCTCAAGTCCTCTAAATCTTCATTAAAGATCTTAGGGTTCTTAGAAATGTAACTTCCTAGGTCCGAATCTGGCACACCAATATCATGCAAAACAACAGATGTGGTTTAACCTGTGTCTCAAAATCCAGCTGAATGATCATATCGGCTGCACCCTTAACTCTCTGTAACTGAGTCAGATCAACTCCCAGTCTCACAAGCTGGGATAGTGTTTCAGATTCATTCACATAAGCAGATAAATGGTATTGTGGTTCTACCACATGCTTTGAAATCTGATGTGAATTGATTACATCAGAGTCTGCACCAGATAGTTCTAAACTTTTATCCTCTTCTTCAAACATCCAAGATGACTCTATTTCATCATCCGAATCACAGTCCATACCCACAGTTGATGCTTGCTCCAGATGTAAGGTATCTGGATATCCCTTAACTATTCTTTTGTTCAGAGCATGGCTTGCATTAGCATATGGCATAGACTTTGAGGAATCAGCTTCAGTTTCTTCCACATGGATGTCAGATGTTTCCAAAGAAGTGGTAGATTGATCATGATTAGTTGTCCTATCTGAGTTACTGGCATCATGTAGACTGTTGATGTCACTGGGACCATTCTTCACTGATACATGGCAGCGTACATGAGAAATGCACAATCTATGTAATGTGACCCTTCTGCAGACCTGTCTGAGCAGTGTCACTTCACTGTGAAGGTGATGCACATTGTGGAGGACAGCTCTTGCTGCTGCCATGAATGCCATCATCTCAGCTGATCTGGAAATACTGATACAAGATATCTGCAATTAACATTATAATATTTCTAATTAACAACTAAATACTGAACCTTGAATTATTGCTGCTAATTTGAAATTGCAGCAGTAACCATAACTCTGTGCTGTTCAAAGAGTGAGTGAGTGAGTTTAGTTTTACACCACACTCAGCAATATTCCAGCTAGGTGGCGGCGGTCTGTAAATAATCGAGTCTGGACCAAACAATCCAGTGATCAACAGCGTGAACATCGATCTGTGCAATTGGGAACCGATGACATGTGTCAACCAAGCCAGCGAGCCTGACCACCCGATCCCGTTACTACGCCTCTTACAACAAGCATGGGTTACTGAAGGTTCATTCTAACCTGGACCTTCACGGGTGCTGTTCCAAGAAAGGATCTTAATTTTCACTTGTTGCACAATACAGAGTGACTGGCCGTTTCATAGTGTTTTCTTAATAGATTGCATTAAGAACATGGACCATATGCCCTTGAAAACTAGAACATAATCTGTTTCATATAACAATTGTGTTTGAATATGTGTATATATATATATTTTTTAAATCAAACAACTTTCCTTATATCTGTTGGGTTGAAAAATTTCCAAGGGTACAGATTTTTGGTTGCCATCATGTATCGATAACAAATCTATAATGGATGGTTGGTAGTTAGTAAATTAGTAAATATATTTTGTATGACCTAAAATATAAGTACTCCAATTCAAAGACAATTTAGTGCCATATAAAGTTTGCATATTGCTTGGGTTCGAACACAACACACTTTACTGAGGCATGTACAATGTGTTGCTGATTTTTATCAGAGTTCTGACTTGAAAATAAAAAGGGGCTGTCCATACAACTGTACAGCTGCAAATCAGTTTTATAATTGTTTAAAGGTAGCAACAAATAGATATGGTTTCGCAGCTCTCAGGGTCCATAGCCATCTTGACTTGCATCTAACTTTAACGATCGCAGTACTGGCAGATCCAGAGGTTTGTAGCAAGGGATGAGCGGTTACCATATTCTAACTTTGTAGCTTGGGTATAGTGTGCACACCCATTTAAAAATTCTGCATCAGCCTGTCTTTGTATGCCACAAAACTGTAAATATAAATATATCACGTAAACAGAATGTGTAAATTGCACTAGCCTTGAAGCTGAAAGAAACTATCCTTTTTTTTACTAGGTCTACAAGTAATACGTACCAAATCTGTCAATGATATCAAACTTGTCACGAATTGGTATGTCTTGTGATGATCACGTCAAAGAAAATGCATAGTGAACATTTTGACAAATTCGTATCATTGTAAGTTAAAATAATCCTCTGAACAGTGAAGTAACTGAACAATCTGATCGGATCAGCCAAAACATGAACACATGTCTGAACATGCAAAGGGAGGTCACTCTAAAGACTTAACACCATGCACACCACGATAAAATAGAAGAAAGTGAGGTCTTTCAACACATACACATGAAGCCGAGAAACGCACGTCTTATAACATCTAAAGACATACATTTATATGAGTGATAGTTAACATCTACCTAGTTTTCTGAACAGATAATATTTCAGAATACATGTATATTTCTTCTTCGAGACTGACAAATGACGAAGGATGCAAGATGAAAGAGTAACGCTTTAGCTGAATGCATCTAGTTATAGTGCTTATATATAATGCAATAATACAATACTACTGATATATGTGTTTTATGTATTGCATGATATTACAGCAATTTTGGAGGAATAACAAAGAATCAACCGTTGATTTAATGGCCGAGGGTCTGGTCTGGTCGAGGTTCTCAAGGGCTACCCTAGTTTCAAAATGGAATGATACTGTTAATAAGACCTAGCTAAATGGCATCACAAGGCCGGGCCAAGCTTAATTGCTATTGGCCAACGTCGCTACCCGAATAATGCTACTCGTCTACATTTTTTAAGACCTGAAAAGTGAACGTTGTGCGAGAACCTCGTTGACTAGGAACTGTATCTACCATCGACAGAAATGTGGAGCATTAAAAATTCCCTATCCGATGGTGCAAATTCAAGTTCAAATACTTAGCCGGTTTGGAAAAAAGACAACACGTTTTGTTATGCGTTAAAATAGAGAACTGCACTAATTAAAAAAAGAGTAAGTAAATTTTTCGGCTTTTTATCGCATCCGAAACAATTACTGTGAGCCAACAAAATACTGCCTGATATTTGAACGACTAAAATATAAGAAAGAAACTTGACATAGGACAAATTTGAAGTTTAGGAAAATATTTGACACAAACCAATCCATGCTGAATCCCAGAATGTGGGGAAATGGTTGCCGACGACAAAACGTTTGAAAAAATAAACGTTTAACAAAAACGTAACGTTACACTCACGTCTGTTGTGAATCGCTAAAACGCACCCTACATGAAATACACGAGCATCATGAAATTGTGTATCACCCAGAGCTGAAGCCTATGACTGTAGGCTTTAAAAAGCCACATCAATGGTACTCCACATGCATGGCTTTAAGCAACTATAGACGGCAAGAGAATGAAAAGACAGAAACTCAACGACACAACCCCATCGGCCGTTTACAATAACGGACATCGCAGCATGATGTGGCAAGGCACTTCAGCGTGTCCAGACAGACCATCTCAAACCTTATACAAAACCCGATACAAAAATACTGGGAGCGTTAATGACAGACCCAGGTAATACGTCTGTATATCGGCGTTTGACGCCCTTTTGACAGAACATAAAACGACTGGTTTTACCATGTAAATAAAGTGTTGAATAGATAAACAATTGTTACTGCGTATCTTAGTTGGACTACACGCGTATCTGTTTGGCATCACTTCACTGTTCATCTAACCGAACAGTTTAAAACACGAAAATATTTTCAACATAGGACTTTTTCTTGTTCATTTAAACGTGGTTAGCTATTCCTCTTATGTATATGATAAAAGATGTAAAAGTCTTTACATATGTTCCTTTCTTAACCATCCCCTTGGTTTGTTCATAACTGGCTTACGACTCTCATGTTGCTTAATCAACGTACTGCCCAGCCAGTAATGTTAAAATGTTGTTTTCTTTGTTACACTCAGAATATATACACACCCCTCCCCTTCATTTTACATTCCTCCTAGACAACGGTACAAGAATCTGAACCGAAACGTTGCACAAAATAAAAGAAGTTATTTTCCATAATTTGTCGGCTTCTTGTAGACCGTCTGAACCGAGAGGAGGAACATCTTATGACTGGTCCTGAGACTGCCACCAAATATGTCGACTCTATTTCCCATCTTGTTGGGCAGTAATGTTTTGTGTGATTTATGAGGCATTATGTAGACGTCTATATGCTGGTAAGATTAATGAAGCACACGACTTGAGGGAGAAAACACTTCTTTTTAATTGCACAGAGGGACGTTACCGGGTATATTCTCACGCTGTTTTTTCTTGATAAATAAATCAGAACACATGGTTATGAATTATATGCTCTATTTAAATAGGTTGTGACGCTTGTGTTTTTTAAGGGAGTGCCTTGTGATTATGATATATTTATAAGCTACTGAGCGAGCAATGTGGTATATAGAGAATACCACACGAGGTCTCATTACATACGAATTATACGAAACGAGTGTCCTTCCTATGGTATCTGACCGAGCGAAAGCGAGTTCAGATAACATAGGAAGGTCACGAGTTTCGTATAATTCGTATGTAATGAGACCTCGTGTAGTATTCTATTTATTACCCACGTCATACATGCATTAAATTGACAAAATAGCGTATTTTTTTCATATTTTGGTTTCAAACCGAAACCGGTTTCATAAAGAGGTTGCGGAAGAGTTTTGTACTGTAGTACAATATTTGCATGACGTCACACTGTAATGACGTCACTGCCTTGGTAACCGACGTCACGATTCATGTCAGTTAGGGTAAGTTGTCATCGCCTCGTACAGCCTCCTACAGTAAACTACTCGCATAGGAAGGACACTCGTTTCGTATAATTCGTATGTAATGAGACCTCGTGTGGTATTCTCTATGTCTTTAAATAGCAACATTGGGGCAATATCGCTTCGGTGGACACCAGAAATGGATGTCACACACTGTACGAATGTGGGGACTCGAAACCGGGTCTTTGGGCCGCTGCACTCTGCTCCGATACATTTTTTTCAAATACAATTTAGAGACCTTTATATAGGAGCTATAAAAATATCTAAACTGAGCGGCAAAAGAAAGTACAGTCAGTGGCCAAAAGTCTGTTCGCACCGGTGACGTCACGGCTATTTCTAGCGGAGTCGGGTCCCCTTTTAAAATTCGCGTATCTATGTAAATAATAAAGGTACTCACCTCAAATTTTCAGAATTTAGAGATATGACCCTGTGCTCTTAGGACATCTCGGAGTCGTCTTGGGTAAACTGTCATATAGACGACGAATGTAAACGGGACTAAGCCCAGTCCAAATGTCATTCACCACACGGATGAGATCTTGTCTGGAGTTAATGTCACCTAATCTGGCTTTGAGTTGATATTTAACAGTTTTCCATACATTTTCAATGATATTGAGATCTGGACTTTTGTGGGGAGCCACGGCAAAGTCGGAATATGATTTTCCTGTTTCAACGGTTAGCCCGAATGGAGACACATGACAAGGGCATTGTCTTCTTAGAAAATCCAATTCCGGTTGACAAAATGCCTGGCAACTACAGGCCACAAGTGGTTATCAAGAATGGCAATGTACTTATCAGTGTTCATGTTGCCATCAACGACAGTTAAAGTTCCCCACTCCATACGCAGACACACACCCCAAAACATCACTGAAAACTTCGAATTTCGTTCAAGATCGGTACGAACCCCAAACAATCGGGTCGTAACCGCTCATGCGACTTTCTCCACACATAAACTTTTCTGTCTATCCCAATCTGGACTTGTGTCTCATCACTGAAAATGACATTATCCCACTCATTTCTTCCCCAATGCAATTTTGTCCGACAAAATCGGCGTCTCTTCTCTGTTAACACGAGAAATGGTGATTTTCTTGCTTACCACATGTCTACGGTACCCCTCAGTGAACAATCTTCTTCTGACAGTGCGAGAAGACAGTGTAGTCTGTCCCTGATTGTTATATTTTGCTGTCAAATCCCCAAGTGTTTGCCGGCGATTTCTTTCACAAGACGAAAAAGCCGTCGTTCGCTTCTTGGTGACGATTTTCGGGGCCGCCCACTTCTCGGCATCGATTTGTCAAACACAATTTAAAATTGAAATTTGTCAACATAAATTTCTGATCTTTCCATCGGCGGCATATAACAATTAAACAAAGCATGGTTAGAATTATCGATGCCGTGAGGTAAATTTTTCGAAGTTACAAATACAGCAGAGGCTCTCATACCTAAACGACGTAACTTCCGTGTAATACCACTGTTTTATTAATCGAGATAATGATTTTGTATCAAACGAGCGATAGCGTGTTTTCACGAGTTTAATAAAATGGTATTCACAGAAGCGAGTTTAGTATTACTCTCCAACATAAATTGATAGAAACTGCCTGCATAGTGTGATGACTCTGAGCTTTCCGCAAGTCAAGCAGGCTCAATTTGACGACTTCGGTAATAAACAGAATATTATATCCGTGCCCATATCCTACTATATATGTTTACGACACGAGTGCCAAAATGTTGTTATTTCCCTGTGCGAGAGTGTATCTTCCACGGGCGAGTAATTATGTGATTATATAACATTTAAATGGAATATGAATGTCAATACGATTCCAGGTTATTTTAAGCACGTTTCAGTAACCATGGTAATATTATTATCATTTCCCAATTTCCATTTGAAGAGGATATGTGACCAGCTGACAAATATACCTCTCGGTTAGCTCTAAAGTTGGCCTTTCGTTAGTGAATCCCGCAGTTATTCAGAATATTGAAGTGATCAGTGTCCGATCAGGCTTGCGCCGCAAATCAGCGATTCTGTTTTCTTAGCAGAGACAAGGTACTGGTCTCCCTTTTCAGTGATTTCTAAGATATTTCAGGGATGCATTTTCGTGTACCGAATTGCTATCGATACGATGAAATAAATAGTAAGTAAGTGATAATGCGATTCTGGGACGATGAGCTGTAAAAAAGGGAGACAATCTATGAGCACCTGCAACCATGACTCAACATATTTTACTAAGCTGAATATGTTTACTTTACTGTGACCGAGGCGTACATTCGTATGTACGTGAGCTCGCAAGAAAGAGGAACGATATAAACGCGCCTTGGTCTATTATGTACACTGCTTTCCGCAATCTTTCCAGAAACATGTCGACTTCGGGACAGAAACTGAAAGTTGTGCTCTTTCTCGGGACTTGCAGAGAGGGTCGAGTGGGTCTTCGCGTTTCCCGCTTTATGAAGAATGCCTTGGAAAAAAGCAACCACGAAGTCACAGTATTCGGTAATACCTTCTTGTTATAACTGACTGTACAGTCAGTGGACATAAGTATTCGTCACTGTGCATAATTTGCATAGACTTGCATGTTAATTTGCTACTGCAATACAGCTAGAAAACTTGTCATGGGTCTTATTTTTCGTTTGATCTTGTTCAGCTGCACAGACATAATTTCCGTCTTATTTTCCATTCAATATTTCAAGAAGGACAACACTTTGATTGATGCGTGTCATGGTTATGACAAGTTTTAACATGGCGGTCTATGGGGAAAGAATATACAATGGTGTATATATGTTGCTCATGTTTGTTACTACAATGCTGCAAATATTTGAAGGAACATTACATGGAAATGATGTATCTGTGACCAAGATGATTTCCTAACAACCTGCAAAATTTGACAACCTAATAACGAAAACTGTATCAATGAAAAATATTGCAGCTACACTAAAATAACATGCAAGTCTATGAGAAATTTGTCCCATGACAGTATGTAGTAGAATAAAATAGCATGTGTCATTGGCTTTTAATATGAATACATTATACGGTTATAACGAGGTTGAGGTTCTACGGTCAGTACTGATCTAAAGAGTTCTATCACATTTTGAGGTAACATCTTTGTATGACCCTCCCACCCACCACCCAAAATAATGATAATGGATTATTAATTATTACTGATTAAAATAATATAAAATGCATGTAGCGTTTTTCCATGACCTTCCTCATATAAAATTAGTGACCAGCCCCCAACTCATTCCTGTGAAAAAATGGGATTTTTCAGTGGCTGCTCTCATACAGTTGTTATTGATTTTGAGGTTTTGACCCCCTCTATCTCTGACAGTGAGATGTTTTTCATGACAGAATCTGTTTCACCATGCATGCATATTTCAGTGCTAATATCACTGTCAAATAGATTATCACATTAATTCTAAGGCCACATAAAAATGCATTTCATGGGTAGGTAGGCGGATTTTATTTTTATTTTTTGATGTTATCTTCCTGATTTTCTATGCAACGTTTTTCGAAAACTTAGAATGCCGGAAGCTGAAATGGATTTCGGAAGTCTGCTTTATACACTCAAATTTACCAGTCCCCCCAAAAATGTTAAAGTGTTAAGCTCGTCCTTGCATGAAAAACTCAACCACGATTCGATTCCCAACATTACAAAACATCTTAGGTGCAATAAAAGCTAGTGGTTTTAAAAATACGTTATCAATGAATGGTTACTTGAAGAGTTGGTGGGTAGCCCGTGGTTCGATTCCCCACATGGGCACAATGTGTGAAGCCCATTTCTGGCGTCCCCCGCCGTGATGTTGCTGGAATATTGCTAAAAGCGGCGTAAAACTAAACTCAGTCAGTCAGTCCCCATGGGTACAATGTATGAAGACCATTTCTGGTGACCCCACCATGATATTGCTGGAATATTGCTAAAAACAGCGTAAAACTAAACTCAGCCACTCACTCACAGATCCTTTGGAGATGAAGTTCCCACTGTTGGAGCGGCCTGTGTTCTTCTACAAGGACAGGAGTGAGGCCCCCAAGTGGATGTGCGATGCGGAGGCGAAGGTGAAGGAGGCAGATGCCTACGTGGTCGTCTCGGCAGAGTACAACCACAGCATCCCCCCAGCTCTCAGCAATATGATGGACCACTTTGGGGGCAGCAGCTATGCCTATAAACCCAGTGGAATAGTGTGTTATTCTCCTGGTAAGTACTAATCTGTCTTACAGTCCCTGAACAACATTATTTTCCCTTATGCCTAGCCCTCCATGCAATGCTAAAGCCCTAAATGAAGAAGTAACATATATTTGTTTCCTTTTCTTATTGTCTGCTAGATGTCAACACTACAAACTGGACAATGAACAGCTATCAAATCATGATTACAGTTCGTTCATTTTACTAGTGGCCCTCATTTGTCAGTTTTCTAATCACCCAGGGGGTCATTTATGGCAAATACGGTACTATTCCTTCTGTCCTATAAGTACTTACCTAGACTAATGCTTAGTCCCTGAATATATGTAATTTTGATAGTAACAAACAAGCCCATTTAAATTGAAAAGGAGCCCTCAGTCTGAACCTGGGAAAATCTAGTTTTTTTATTTTTATATTTCAAGTACGGTTGAACATCTCAGACTAAGTGTATGAACCTCAAAGTCTGTTATTCATATGCTTATGAACTTCATATCAGTTTCTCAGTCATGTGACCTGCATCTCATCTAGTGGTAAAGACGTATATCATGGAAACTTCAAATTACAAAATCATGTTGATGAAACACAAACATTATTAGTACAATATCTACTTGGCAACTATGTACTCATAGTTAAACTGTTGTTTCCTCAATTAAACATCTCATACAGAAAGTATGGATTGTCAGGTACATTTTTGACTGAGGTTTGTGAAGGTCACTGGTAAAGATTGTTTAACAACTGAAGATGGCCATAGGGCTCTTGTTAAAATGGGGCACCTTGTACAGTGAATATGGTATATATGGTATGTGATTTACATCACTCTGCACTATGCCTGATATCACTGAGACCTGTGAAACTTAAACCAGTTGTTGCCTCCATGAAAAGGACCTCTGCTGTGGCAGTATTTTGAAATACTACCAGCCAGGTTAGACATTGCAAACACCTCACTGGTCAGCTTTTTTGAAAATCGGGCAGTAATGGTGATCTACCTGTCTTCTGTAAGTGTAGAATGCCAGAAAATAGATGACAGTTTCCTAGTATGCCTACCAGTTTCTGTACCACAGTTCAAAATTCAGTATGATGTGAGAGTGTGAACTTTCAACAATAATAGCACACTAACTAGTGTTGGGAATTGGTTGAAATCTCACAATTGATGATTGGTTCACTTCCAATGAGCAATCATTGAAAAAAATTGGTTAGTGTCATTTTTAAGATTTTCTCTTCAGGTTGTTTTCACAGATAAGAAGACTCAAGGAAGTTTATGTTCATGATATATTAACAGTGTTTCCGTTCTCCGGTATATACCTGAAAATCGCCGGTAAAATTTGTTGGGGTCCGGTAAATTGAAAGCCAGCAGGACACCGTGTCCGGAAAATAATCATGTATTAAAATAAAATCATCATGGGTAAGCGAAATGACAGTCTTGGCTGTGCTTTCATGGTCACAAAAACTGTTATGCTTTGGAAATACCCAGGCTAAAAATAACTTTAAAATGAGTACTTACAGTATGGTAATAAGATATGACCGGCAAATTTCATTCATGACCGGTAAAGTTTTAGGTCACCAGACACAGTGTCTGATAAATAATGAAGTCAGTGGAAACACTGTATTAGCCATCACTTGAAAGTAGCAAGTTGTATCCTTTTACATTGAATGTGATATTTGCAAATGCAATTTGCATGTTTCAAACTAAAAAGAAAAAATAACAAAAACAACAATAAAACAAACAAAACAAAACCCCAGAGAACCAGGTTCAGTCATGACTTGTCATTAAGTGAATATTTTTTTTAAGAATTAAACATGTTTTCAGGCCCTGACAACTTCTAAGATATGTTCCATCGTCAAGTGTTTCAAACACTTAAACAGCAGTTCCAAAATCGTTTGTGTGATTATGAGAAAATGTGATCGATTGCTTGGTCGTTTGGTCACTGCGACCAATCTTCAATTATTTCAATTAATCGGACCACCACTAACAATAACCAGTTACAAATTTCTCCAGGAAATGTCAATCATCTAGCACTTTTATGTTAACTTGTGATCTCACCAAACCACACTCCTCCTTTTCCACAAAGGTTACTTATTGTCTTGATCGATTGCATGACTTGATGTCTTTTCAGGTATTTATGGAGGCATGAGGTCAGCCATGCAACTCCGTGCATTTCTGGGCGAGCTTGGCTGTCTAAGTGTTTCCAATATATTTGGCATCCCTGAAGTTCACAAAGCCTTGGATGAAGAGGGCAACCCTCTGAACGATCACATGGAGAAGGGAGCTAACCGATTGATTGCACAGCTGGACTGGAATGCCCACGCTATGAGAAACCATCGGGAAAAGTGTGGTATTCCCCAGTGATTACAGGGTTCAAAACAGAGCCACTATGAACAGTGTCACCTGAAAGTTTGGTTTTTTTTCCACTCATGATGAAACAGTACATTTCATTTTGACACTAGAATCTCACAATTCTCATTCAGAGGATGGTTGTTTACAAAAACAAACACTTTAAGCAGTTGATCTTAAGAAAAACTTGAATCTCACTATCTAGTTTAATATATTCAAATAAATCTTTTTAAAAGTTTTAAATGGTGGGTTAGGCCACCCAAAAATATATGTCCGTTTCCTATTACATTTTTAAAAGAAATTTGGTAGGTGTTGGTTTTATCTCTTTTGTTTACTTTTTTTTATTATTTCTTAGTGGCACCAGGTGGGCACCTGAGGTCTTCAAGAGTACCATATCATGTAGTGACAATGCCTTATGATGAAACATTGAAAGATTTCTATATCAAATCATTATTTATGTTATTTATTTGCAGATTTGGTCAGTGAGGACCCATTATTCCAATTCAATGCAATCCATTTTAGCCCTACGTACACTGAAAAACATGAAAATATCTTACTCGATTTGGATGAAAATGATGAGTTGAAATGAACTCCAGTCATGATATTGACTTGGTTAAAAAAAGATTTAGGGTCGGTTGGGTTACCGGAAATGGACATTTTGTTTTTGCCTTAATGAGAATGTGAAGGAACAGAACTTGAATGTGAGAGACATTTTACCTGTTTCTGTTGAAAAAAATATTCAAACTTGTTATGCATCATGTATGCTTGGATTGATTGTTGTTTATTGCTTGATACTGTATTTAACAATATATTTACCTATAATAAGATGTGACTTGTCCACTATACTCTATACAGTGTGTAACTGTGCATAAATCAGGGTAAGATGTTATTTGTTGTTACGTGATGTGTAATACTGTTTCAAACAGTGCATTACCCACAATGAGATGTGACATCTTGTCCCTTAATGCTTGATACTGTTTTAATATTAAATTACCAAAGGTCACTTGTCACATAATGCTTTATGTTAATGTATCTCTGTTTGTTTTATATGACTTTAATCAAACTTCATAGGACTGCCAGTGCAACTTAAGAATCTTTGTTCCTATTTAAAGTCTTGTCTAGTAGTTCGTTTACTGAGAATGTGGTAGCTAAATATAATTTCTGGATACATTAGCTGTGTTGTCATCACACCCAGAGATTTTAGATGACATAAAAGAGGTAGCAATTCTGTGAAGCAAAGATATTATCACCCCTTGAAACTACAAAGGTCAAAGGTAGTTTTTTAAATGATGGGTAAATTATATGGTAGCTTCCCTGAGGGCTGATAAATAGTTTTATTGAGAGAAATAAATTATGTATTTTTAGAGCAGTGTGGTGTGACAGTGTGCCTTTAAAGATATAAATCACATGATTACCTATGACTGTTGTATATCTGGTACTGTGCCTTAATGGACTTGTTTTTGTTCTTGTTTATAAGGAGTCTGTATAGTTGTGTCGTGCATGGAAAATAGTTTATAATCAGGTTGGAATTATATAAACAGCTTTAAAAAAAAAAGTATACGTCTTCTGTAGTGTGAATAAATAGCATGTTGTTTGTTGGAGTTAAATATTGCTTGTGATTGAATGTGTATTGTGGTTCACGATTCCACAGCCGGGGTTGGTCGTAGTGGAGGAGATAATTAATATATCAATACCTTATCAGCTGTTTTGGAATTATAGGCATACTCTGGCATAGTATAACCTGTGATCAAAGTGACAAATTGCATATAATGCTTACATCCAGTCGTCACTAGCTACCTTGTTGAAAGGCAACTCCAAAGATGTCCATTTGCAGTTAAAAGTAACAACAAAATCATCAAACAGTTTCTACAAAATTTATTGACAATCCATAATAAATATGCTCAGTCATTCAGATTCACACACTCGGCTGATAAGTTACCAATGATGGATAGACTTTATACACATGCTATGAGAAATGGTATACACTCTTCTCTGGCCGACCATTTATTGAGCACCACCATCATACAGTGCCTGTACAGGCTCAGACTGTAAAAGTTGGACAGGTGAACCCAACTATCTGTCCCAATGAAGGCCTAGGGGGCACCACCTACACACAACATTCAAAGGAGTTTCGGTTGGTGGTTTCAACTGCCGAAATGCAGCATTTGCAAAAAATATTTAATAACACATCATTGAAATACTTTGGCTTGAGCCGTTGCTGCATAGGAAACATAAATGTAACAAGTTCCAATACACTGCATTAATGTTGCTGTATCTCCCCACAATACGGATCAAGTGCTTTGATCTTCCCGGCTACTGAACCTTTTCCCAATGAGAAAAGAACCATCACAGAGATGAATTCATATATCTGTTAACTTAAAACATTGCCACATCCTGCACTGGAACAGTACACATGTATCCACGTACACATGTTGCCACTAAACAGTCTATGTACATGACTTCACTTCAGTTGATAAACACAAAATATTCTGATTCGCTGTCAAACAAGTTCAATGGAGTGACCAGTCCGTGGGACCAGAATACACCAGTTTATTAAAACACTGGTTTGCTATGATAATAGAAAACAATACACTTGTACATATACTCTTCCGAAATAGGGGAACCTGAACTTTCAATTTGGATAGGAAGTATAAGGGTTAACAAACTTTTCAAAGACAGACATCTTATGAATGCACCACCATTTCTCTTTATCACCATCCCTAAACACAACACGTGATGCACGTGCACAGCGCAGTAGCCCCAGTATGGGATGTCATTCTTGATTTTGACGGTTTTCTTGCATCACACAGTTGTTAGTGTTTGTTTCTAGCTGGGTTTTTTATAAAATTGAAAATCTTACACATGCAAATTTCATGTCATACACCAATCATCTTTCAAGAACGATTACTGTACAAACAACTATGGTCATGAGGAAGTGCAAGTGCTGATGCATTCCAAAACATTCATTATCCTATCAACATTGATCAACTTCAACATAACTCCCATTTTTTTCAATCATAAATTAAAAATTAAGTTCCCCTACTTTTTTAAAGAGTATACTTCAGTATTCCCTCTACTTGTAAAAGCAAGATGTGAATAAGGTGATATGGGTCGGGCAGGTATCTTGGCTTGATTACAGTTGTATATATTTCCATATATGAACATATGATTACAAGGATACACATGAGGCACTGCAAGGTAAACTGTGTATCAGATCTAAGTGATAGTGAACATATCACCTGATCCATAAGAAATGCTACATCAAGAACCATCTTAACATTTGATCAGCACAAACATCAAAGGTGAAACAAGAGACCAATATAATCCATTTAAATGAATCCAGGATTACCTCAAGGGCATCATATTAATTTCTGTAAAATTATTTCACATGACAAAATCTGATGAGCAAAATACACTGACATCAAGTGATCTTATTAATGACAGAAAGTAAAATGGCTTCCACCTCATGCACATAGCACTGAATAGTACAAAACATTTGTCTTTGATCTGGAAGTCATGGTAGGTTGTTCACAATGAATATATAGACAAATTGTGATGATATGTTCCAATTCATTATCTTATTAAAAGATAATGTGAATGAATATATAACATCTAACATAACAAATATACTTAATGTATCTGGTACATTTTCAACGATATTAATTGCTTATCTATATCAAGATCTCTCAATTCGGTTTGTTTTCTCATAATACTTGTATATCTTAACATGATTCCAGCGTTAACATACAATACCATAAATTATACAAGAGAATCGTTTGACAACTGATCACAATACTGCATTACAACTATTCACATAGTATCATCCATACTTTAGTAAGAGACAAATAAGTCATTTCATGGCACATATTTGCTTCATATTAAAGAATCTTTTCCCTCCATATAAAAACAGCAACTACTGAACAGCTGATTACCTGCTATTGAAGGCAACTGAATACACCTTGCTGAAAGAAATGGTTCTCCATGTGTTCTGGTGAACAGAACTGTACACATCTTCCTGAAAGTGTTGGAACCATGTTCGATTCCCTGTGGTCCAGGTTCATGGTGGGAAGGAGGTTGTCAGTGTGGCACTGGAAGACCTAATCCACATCCTTTAAGGTTAAACTGTTTTAAATGATCTCCGTAGCACACTAAAACATGATCACATATATTGCACATACTATTTGTCTTGGGATAACTCCAGCTTTTTTGGAACATTCATGTCTGTTTTGTCACAAGATCAACACTGTTTCAGTCTTGTTTCCTAGACAAGCAATGGACAACTGTACAGTTGGACCAAGGATGAAAATATTTTCAGTTCTGCTCATCAACAAGCCCCTGAGATGATGTTTTCCAAAGAACTATTGTCTTCTAAACATACTGAGAGAAAGCAGACATCAATATATGTCACAGTATGACTCAGATTTCTTCCTCCAGGAACAATGCAAAATCACAGGAACTGCACTTTTCTCGCAGGATCCTACGCTGGTCATGCCAGGGAACTTCAACTGAAACATCCTTCATGCGTTTACAAGAGAAGCTGTTGTACAGACACCTGTCCTCAATCCTCCTCCTCTTCCTCCAGTGTTTCTATGGAGGCCTTGGATTTGATGAGACCATGCTCCTCTGCCAATTCCAGAGCCTCTTTTGCACACGTTGTTGCAGCCTCACGCTGGGGATCTTTCAATATAGTAATAGCCATCAACACTTCAAAGTCCTGGGATGCTACAATCTTCTCGGCGGTGTCTCGGTCCACCATCATGTTTCTGAGGATGTGACAGCCCCGGTGCTGAAGTTTGATATCTTCCTCCACAGCCAGTCCCTGGATGATCTCGTACCACCCTTTAACCTGCAACAATCATTTCACACAATAATTCATTTGCTTAGTGTTGTACTGTTGAAATCAATTTAATGACATGGCACTTGATAGTTAGAAGACAGATCTTTCTGAATTGCCTACCTCTATCATCTTCTTGGCTATTGTCGGCAGTGATGACAACATAGCAATGGCACCAGCGGCTGCCAGTCTCAACTCTGGGTCTTCCTCACCACAGAACAACACCATCAGCTTGACACGGTCATTGTCCCCTTCATACAGTTTAATCACCTGAAACAACATGTAGATGATAACAACAACAGCAACAACAACAACTACTACTATACTTCTATTACTACTACTACTACTACTACTACTACTACTACTACTACTACACTGCTACTACTTCTACTACTACTACTACAACCACACTACTACTACTGCTACTACTACTACTACAACCACACTACTACTACTACTACTACTACTACAACCACACTACTACTACTTCTACTACTACTACTACAACCACACTACTACTACTACTACTACTACTACTACTACTACTACTACAATCACTACTACTACTACTACTACTACTACTACAACCACACTACTACTACTGCTACTACTACTACTACAACCACACTACTACTACTGCTACTGCTACTACTACTACAACCACACTACTACTGCTACTTCTACTACTGCTACTACTACTACTGCTACTACTACTACTACTACTACTACTACAACGACTACTACTACTACTACGACTACTACAACTACTACAACTACTGCTACGAACCTTTTCATTCATGACCAGGTTACACATGCACTGTGTAGCTGCCCGCCTCAACATTTCGTGTTCCTCGTACATGTAATTATCTATAGCTGGAATTCCCTTCTCAGATACAATGCGATTTCTGAAACACAAAGACAAATGATACATTCATCATCATTTGGTATATCTGTTTTCCTCTGAAGACTTGAGAAATGTTTCAGATATACTACATTCAGTGCAACTGTGTTTTTTCCTTCGTAAATACTGCACAGAAGTCCAGAACAAACACATACACTGTACAATAGATTACACTGTATGGTAACTCACCCAGTACAACTCACCTTATACAACTCACCCTGAACAACAACTCACACTGTATAACAACTCACTCTGTACTATATAACTCGCCCTGTAAACTCACTGTGTACAAGAACTCACCGTGTACAAGAACTCACCCTGTACAACACACTATACAACAACTCACCCTGTACAACTCACACTGCATAACTCACCCTGTACGACAACTCACCCTGCATAACTCACCCTGTACAACACACACTGTACAACTCACCCTGCATAACTCACCCTGTACGACAACTCAACCTGCATAACTCACCCTGTACAACACACACTGTACAACTCACCCTGTACAACAACTCACCCTGTACAACAACTAACCCTGTACAACACACCCTGTACAACAACTCATCCTGTACAACAACTGTGTAACAGCTTACATTGTACAACTTTGTACAGCTTTACACTGTGCAACAACTCACCCTGTACAACAACACACCCTGTACAACAACTCACCCTGTACAACAACTGTGTAACAGCTTACATTGTACAACTTTGTACAGCTTTACACTGTACAACAACTCACCCTGTACAACAACACACCATGTACAACAACTCACCCTATACAACAACTGTGTAACAGCTTACATTGTACAACTTTGTACAACATTACACTGTACAACAACTTACACTCTACAGCTATTCCTCCACATTTCCTGTGCAAGATCAGATTCACAGTTATCCTTTTTAGTCTGTTCTGGTTTTATCACATACTGAAGTAATGGCCAAGTTCACTGACTCAAGCATGCTAATTCCAGATATTTCTGTTCTCAGAGCACACTGACTGCTCCTGGTAACATCACAATCACTATGGAATAGTTCACTTAAAGCACTGAAGCCCTTGTAATGTGCATGCATGGACATTACGTTCATGTTTGTTTGTTGTCTAAAACCACACTCATCCTGCTGAATGATGTGGCCTGGAAATATAATCAAGCCTGATACTCCAGTGACTGAGACAATGAGGAAAAACCACATATCGAAACAAGCCATTAACCAAGACACTGAGGCAACATTTAGTTGCTTCTTACAGCTATCATTCATGGCGGAGGCCAATATTATCCGGACATCAGATTCTCCACAGGAAGTCACCAATATAAATGTGTAGAGAAACATTTCAGTTTTAGCTTTGTCATTATGGATCTATTTGTTTGTCTATGGTTGGTGAGCTTCAGTGGTTTGCATCCTACATGCTTACGGCCTATCCAGAGTTGGATATTCAATACTTTACTGAAAGATTTCTTTTCCCTGAAATAAAACTAAAGAACAAAAATGTTGGAAATCCAATCAAATTACATCAAAACCTCTCTCACCTGACAGAATCGCTGACTGAAGCAAGATTAGTGAGTGCCATGAGGGCTTCAAAATTTTGCAGCCCACTCCTGTCTATATGGAGCAAGCTGACCAATGGGCGGACAATCTCATACATCTGTAACAGAGGCAGAATGGATATCACAATCATGGACTTTGCAAGTAGTGAAACAGTTTCTTAATATACGGATGCACATAATGAATCTTGTACATAATGTCAATTTACCATGCCTGTTTCAGCACAGGGACATGGGCTAGCGGCTAGCCCAGTGGTTAAAGCATTTGCTCGTCACGCCGAAGACCCGGGTTCGATTCCCCACATGGGTACAATGTGTAAAGCCCATTTCTGGTGCCCCCCTCCGTGATATTGCTGGAAAATTGCTAAAAGCAGCATAAAACCCAACTCCCTCACTCACTGTTACAGTGTTCAAGATTAATGCACTTATGTCCAAGTGACGAGTCCTTGTTCTGTCTGTCTATAGCTGACCACCAGGCAGGGTAACAACAAATACCATCGCTTGTAATTTCTGATTTGACTCAGCCAGGGATCAAACCAGCAACCTTCCACTCTCCGGGCAGACGCTCTATCCACCAGATCATGGAAACCATCTCTCTTAAAGGTAGATATACTGCCTGTCCACTGTGGCCAACTGAACGTTGACACAACATACAGCTTCTCCATTGGATACGGAGTCTGATAATAATGATAATAATAATACTGGAAATTTATATAGTGCTAAATCCAACCACTAAGTGGGTGCTCAAAGCGCTGATCACATGACACACTCTGGCAATGTTCACTGGCAGACAAAGCATGTAATTCCTAGGTATTTCTGTGAGCATGTCACTTACTCTCTGGCCAGGGAAGGCTACTTCAGGGTTCATGGTTACAGCAATCTTGGCGAGAGCATGGGCCGCCAGAATCTCTCCTGCCTCTGTGCTCTTCAGGGAAAGTGGTAGCAGCACCTGGCAACATTCAATATAATTACAACACTGCATTTAATCAGTAACCCATCTTGCGGTGACTTGGTGCATTTATGAATGAAAAATTGACGAATGAAAAATTTACTAATGCACCACTCCCTGCGGATGGGATTTGTTTGTAAATATCTGGACCATTTAAAACGCCTCTTGGGGTATAATTAGGAAACTAAGGTTCTTTCTGTGATTATTGAAATATTTCATGACCTATTGAAATATCCACCAGCAGGGATGGAAATAACCCATTGCCCGATGTCCCAGTCCAGTGTTTTTTTCGGTCGGGCAAGCAAATTTGTATATCATACTGTACCGGCGTCCAGTTGACTTTCCAATGTTAATTATGTTGTTTATTTAAAAAATCCAACAAGAAAAACAGTGGGTATAGTGGAAAAATTATCAGGGCAAGTGATTTCACATATGCCACTGTACCGGAGTACACTTAATTTTAAAGTTATTTCCACCCCTGTCACCAATTTGCAAAGGTTGACCATCACAACCAGCGGTTGATAGCATGATGACCCAGAGACCTATATTCCCTCCATAAGTCTACAAATTTCTGAATCACACCTACCTTCGCCCCTCCCTGCTGCACAATGAGACCACGCAGGTTTTCCTCAGTGGCAACGCTCATGAAAACTCTGCAAAAGATATGTGCCATGTACTGCTTGTAAGTAATTCACAAAGAACCCGTGAAGATCCGGGTTAGAATTGATCTTCAGTAACCTATGCTTGTCATAAACAGGTGACTAACGGGATCGGGTGGTCAGGCTCGCTGATTTGAGTGACACATGTCATCGTATCCCAGTTGCATAGATTGATGCTCATGCTGTTGATCACTGCATTGTGTGGTCCAGACTCGATTATTTACAGACCACCGACATATAGCTGGAATATTGCTGAGGGTGTCGTAAAACTCACACACTCACTAATTCATGAAGAAAAAAGATCTTTGGCACTATTTCACTTTTCATATTCATCACATTTGATTTAGACACAGCTACACATCTCTGACTGGCCTACCTGGCTATCAGCTCCTTGCTGTTGTTACTGTCTGTGGTACACAGCGCCACCAAGGCATTTACAGCTCCAGCCTTTGCCAGCTTATGGATGCGAGCCTGCACAAACTCCATCTTGTCCTGAAAGAATGACATATAAATTGTTTAACTTTCAATGCCTCATTTAGCAATAATCCAGAACAATCTGAAAAGAAGTGGACCAGCCATGCTAGTGACTGACACTGTGAGCAACACTTCACATTACTGGGGTACGATTATATATTCAACCATGTAACCAATCCCACAACACAACCCATTTTGACATTTCTTATGACCAGCATACTTAGCTGGGACCAATTCCAATTTGAAGCCCAATAGGACTATGGCAATATGGAGGGATATACATCTGAGTAGGTACAATACATTGATCATGGAGGACATTCATAATAATCCATTTGTTGACTTACATATAGCACATTTCAGCATCAATGCCTTCATAATCTATCAAAGTAACTCAGATAGTTACTATAACAAACAAGCATTGTCACTAAGGTGACATAATCCCCCGCCGCAAATTATCAAATCAAACTTAAAAAGTAATGAAAGTGAAGGTCGTAATTTAAGATGAAGTTAAATGTCAACAAAAACATGACCAGTCAACCTCTCTTGATATCTTGCTCTGTAGTTGTTCAAATGCACAAATATTTTCAAGACTCACTTTGACCTTGACATGACTGTCTTAGTGTATGAAATATGCAAAAATAGTAATAAAGAAATTGCTTATTGATAAACATTCAAGGGAAGTCTTGAAAGTCTATGAAGAAAATCCAGTGAACTGTTCTTGAGATATCTCGCTGACAATCTTAACATGCAGTTTAACATGCTGAAATCTTCAAAGTGTTGCCATGACCTTGAAAATTATGTGAAGGTCAACAAAATCGACTGGGCCTTGCACCTTCCCCAGATGAAGCTTGGTGTTAAATATGAAGAAAGTCCAGTGAATGGTTCTTGAGATATCTCGCTGACAATCTTAACATGCAGGTTAACATGCTGAAATCTTCAAAGTGTCACCATGACCTTGAAAATTAAGTGAAGGTCACTAAAATCGACTGGGCCCTGCGCCTTCCCTCTTTGAAGCTTTGTGTCGGATATGGAGAAAATCCAGTGAATGGTTCTTGAGATATCTCGCTGACAAGGGTAAAACGTTAAAGTCCCCTTGTGACCTTGAAATGAAGGTCAAGGTCACCAAACCTGACTAGGACCTTTCTGACTGGGACCCAGGTACCAAATATGAAAAGAATCCAGTCAATGGTTCTTAAGATATTCCAATTCGTACGTATGTACAGACGGAGCCTAATACTATATCCCCCGCTTCGCGCTAAACGTGCGGCGGGGGATAATAACAGTCAATATTCTGCAAGATGCTTGTAGAAGAATTATAAGTTAATCACCAAATGTCAAATCAAACATTCAAAATACAACTCCACGAACCTTTTCATGTTCTTCAGGAACATGTTGCTTGGAGAACTTGGCCAGCTCGATGAGTTCCGGCATAACTTCCTGCTTGTCGTAGCTGTTAGTGAGGTTCACCATGATAGTGATGGCCGCGTAGGCCACGTTCTTTTCTTTAACCTGGAGATATAGTCAGTATGTCAGAAACATGGCGATGGTGACATGATCTCACCGGCGAGAGATTACATGTGTATATGGCTGACACTGTCTAGGGACTGTATGATGGGCAATGTCTAGAGTCATTATTATGGACACTGTCTACAGACTAAACAATGGACACTGTCTACAGACTAAACAATGGACACTGTCTGTCTAGAGACATTATGGTGGACACTGTCTAGAGAGAAGAAGATGGACACTGTCTAGAAAGATGGACACTGTCTACAGACATTATTATGGACACTGTCTACAGACTAAACAATGGACACTGTCTGCAGACTAAACAATGGACACTGTCTACAGACTAAACAATGGACACTGTCTATAGAGAGAATATGATGGACACTGTCTAGAGACTATACAATGGACACTGTCTAGAGACTATACAATGGACACTGTCTAGAGACTATACAATGGACACTGTCTAGAGACTATACAATGGACACTGTCTAGAGACATGTATATTCAGTATTACCTTAGCTATATCGAAGATGGAATTGATGGCATCTATGTCATCTATCAGCTCCTCCTTGACATCCGCGTCCAGGGTGAGGTACGCCAGCCCCTCCGTCGCCCACTTCCGCAGGTCAACATCTTTAGCGGGGTTCGTCAAAAATCTAGAAAATCAGGATGTTGGTGATATACTACACTGCTTTAGTGAGTTGTCTGGTAATCTTGAACTAGTCATTAGCAGACATGCTTTGTTTTTGATATCTGCTCAAGTTGTGTAATTTTATTACACATATTTTCACAATTACGATGACTGATGAACAAAATTTCAGTGATGAGTTAAAATATCGGGTCATCAGAAAATAGCTTTCAAGCTTACAGAAATTCCAGCAGTAAAATATAGCAATGGCAAGGGTTAACTGTTGAGGTTATTTATCCCATCACTTGGAAACCAGCAATCATGGAAGTTTCCATGGAAACGATTGCTTACTTTCTGCAAGACTTGGCCAGTGACAAGCTGGATCCATCAGCCATTGGCCTGGCACTGGCATCACTGCCATGGAAACTGCCCAGTTTGCATAAACCCTGTAAAAGAAATCCCACAATGAAATAGCTTGAATCCTGAATACTGAGGATCAACAGCATGTACATCTTCAAACAGAAATATAAACAACAGGTGTTAGGCAAAAAGATTAATTCTTTCAAAAGGCAAGTGTTCTTATCCCGCTCCCTGGACTACCTTGTGATAAGTCCTGTAAAAATGTATGAGGGTGAATGGGTGAGCGAGTTGGCTTCAACGTTGCTTGGAACAGCATTTCAGTTAACAGCTCTTAGCCATGAAGTGGTGCACATTAGGGCTGGGATGGGTCCAAATTTTCTACCCGGGTACCCCACGCCCTAGTACCCTACCCTACCCTACCCGGATACCCGTTATGTTAATTCCTGACATCACATTTGTAAGAAATGGCAATATATTCTTCAGGTCGGAGCTTAAAATTCCGAGTTTTTCAATATTTTAACCATGTATTATATTCAAAACAGGTGACTGTAAATTATGTCTAAATCTTCAAGACAATACAACCTATTAATCATGAAAGAATAACATATTACATTGTTTAATCTATTAGTCACATGATCATAACGGGTCCGGGTATTGAGACTGGTACCTGGGTCCAACTCATTACCCACCCGTCCCGGGTATCTGGCGTTGCCCATCCCAGCCCTAGTGCACATCTTATATCTCTGCCACTTTGGTGAAACCTAATCCAATGAATTGGTCAGTCAGCGATGGAATGAATTGGTCAGTCCAGCCTTAACTAAATGATTAATGTCCAGATACCTAATTGAAGGAGCTCACCTATAAACCATCATCAACCAAGCTCATCAAAATGATATTAATAATCTTATTTCTGTCTAGTCACGTACTGGTAACAGTCATGTAAGGTCAGCCAGGACCTGGTCGGCTGATCATCGCAATATGCCGTCATTGTTAGTAATGTTACTAGCACGGCCACTGCTTCCTCCATGTTACATTTCAGCCAAAACATTGAATTGTTATATAAGACCTACCGTCACAGCAAAGAAAGAGAGCAATATCCCTGATTAGGTCATACTAGGAAGATGTAAAAGGGTTTACTATCATCATTATGAAAAACAAGTTACATCCAAACCAATGGTCAATATCCATGATAGGTGAGCATATGACAACTGAAAGGTTCTTACCACAAGAGCTCGGACCCTGATGTGATCATCGGCAGACTGGTACAGACCCTTCAGAATGGGCACAGCATCTTTCAGGATTCCAGAACATCGCTCCTTCTTTGAGGCTGAATTGACTATAGCTTCAACTGCAACTCTCTGTGATCAAACAAGACATAAAGTGACCTGACCTTTTCTGTTCACCACATAGTTTGCGGCCCACAACACTGGACTCTACCCAATGAACAAGGCAGAGACTGACTGACTGAGTTTGGTTTTACGCCGCTTTTAGCAATATTCCAGAAACATCACGGTGGGGGACACCAGAAATGGGCTTCACACATTGTACCCATGTGGGGAATCGAACCCGGGTCTTCGTCGTGACGAGGCAACACTTTAACCACTAGGCTCCCCCACCGCCCCAACAAGTCAGAGAACATAGTGAAATACAGGGATTTATTCTGAATTTAAAACTAAGTGCCCTGGCTGGCACATTACACAAAAATCATTATTTCATTCAAACACTTTTTACAAAAATTACTTATTTATTTAAATTCAGAGGTATGTTCCTATGATATTATGATACTGCATTCAACATCAGTGTCATTCAATATGAATCCCTATTACATCCAACCTATTTTGCAACAAATGGCATTGTTTGTTTAGCATGCAATGATATATAACAAAAACACACTTCATAGATTCTACTACTCTGAAATAACACCTATATACTGTAGTATCTTCAGTGCATATTGAAGACTGACTAATAGTTACAGTGAGTGAGTGAGTTTATTTTATGCCGCACTCATCAATATTCGAGCTATATGGCAGCGGTCTGTAAATAATTTAGCTAAACCTGTAGAGGTTTCCAATTCTTTGAAGAGAATCATCCTTGGGGTACATATATGCATTTTCTGCGGCTGAAAATGTCATGTGACAGTTGTATCAATGTTTTAATAAAAATATCCTACAATAAATATAAATCTTTCTTATCTATTATACGGCCCCCACCACATGGAGTTACCTCCCTGCTACGCATGCGCAGCCAACCAGGTAAGCACCTAGGCCCATATCATCATTCCTTCTGCTGAATAAATCAGTGAACAGAATTGCGGGGAGGTGGGTGGCCCTACCCCAAGGACGATTCTCTTCAAAGAATTGGAAACCTCTACAGGTTTAGCTAATTCTTTTTCATAGAGATCGTCCTTGGGGTACATATATGCAGTAACTTAAGACTTCCAAAGACCGGAGGCTAGTGAGGAGGGAATTCTGTCAAAGTACACATAAATAGCGATTGTTAGGAAGAATGTAACAGACGCCACCCTGTCACATGTCCCGAAGCTTCCGCGAGAGGCATAATGGGAGGGTAACCGACAGGGAGGAAAGTACTGAGACCTGACCTCACAGGTTAAGCAAGACAAAGCGCACACAGTGCGACAGTAAAAACCCGCCCACATCGTGAATCTATTAAAGAGCACTGTAAGGGGGAAAACCAACTCACAACTGACCATAATCTCCTGAAAGAAATCGAAAGTAGTTAGATATGATAACAGCGGATATATCAATTATACACAATTGAAAGCAGCGTCAACTGTCCAGATAACCAAGACTCACTTGGTCAGGATGGCAGGACACTGTCCACTGGAGAGAACAGAAAAGTGCTAGGCCTGCTCCAAATAGTGGCAGAGCATATCTCTTCAATGGGCAGTGCCGATGCAAAAGCCTTTGACGTGGCCACTGCCCTGACCGAGTGAGCCTTCAACCCCTCAGGGGGAGGCTTGCCCTTAGCCTGACAAGCAGCACAAATGACCGATACAAGCCAGCGTGATAGGGCCTGTTTGCTAGCCGGCATGCCAGCCTTCCCGCCACCGTAACAGCAGAACAGATGGGTACCAGTAGGGATCCCTTGTGTTCGTTTGATATAGACATTGAGGGTCTTATGGACATCCAGCGGGTGAGTGCTTGTTGCAGAGGTCCCCGATGTGGAAGGCTTGGTAAGGGTAGGAAGTTCGATAGGAGCCTTCACATGGAAAGCGTGATCAATCTTCGGACGGTAAGTATCCGGGAGGTGAATACTGACACGATCTGGATGGAACACAGTCAGCGCCGGGTCTGCCGACATAGCATATAAGTCTCCGACCCTTCGCCCAGATGTTACCGCCACCAGAAATATGGCCTTCCATGTTAACAGCTGAATGGAAATAGCCGATAGACGTGAGAACGTAGGACCGGACAGCCAATCTAGCACGATTGACAAATCTCAAGGTGGGCTGGTTTGCCTGACAGCAGGGTCGAACCCGATCCACGCCAGCTAAAAAGCGCTGCATAAGAGGGTGCTGCCCCAGAAGAGCACCATCGACAGGGGTGTGGAAAGTGGAAATAGTGGTAGAGTAGCCACGAATGGTCGAAGCCGCCAAGCCTTCTTCCAAACGAGCTTGCAAAAACTCCAATACTCAGACTAAATCAGCAGGAAAAGGATCTGCAATCCCCCTATCTGAACACCAGCGTGCATAGCGGGACCACCTATCCTCATATTGAACGTTTGTCGAATACCGCCTCGAAGCCAGAATTGTGTCTGCAACTGCTGCAGGAATTCCGTGTGCTTTGAGGCTAGACCTGACAGAGGCCAAGCCACCCACTGAATCCTTGGATTGGGGTATGCCGCGCCGTGAACAGCTGGGAGAGGACCCGGGGAATGAGTGGTAGAGGCGGAAACGCCAACAACACCTTGCCTGTCCAATCCAGCAGGAAGGCGTTGGAAGCCAACGCCCTCGGGTCCGGTATTCGAGAGCAGAACACGGGTATCTGATTCGTCCCGCCGAACGCAAACAGATCCACCTGGAACGATCCGTACAACTGGGAGATAACTCCGAACATCTGCCAGTCGAGGATCCACTCTTGCGGGGCCAGGATCCGGCGAGAGAGCGTCTGCTCGCACGTTCTCCAGCCCCGGGACATAAACTGGAATCACCTGACAGTCGCACTGGTCGCCCCAGAGGAGAAATTCCCACTTCTCCCGAAGGAGCGCTAGGGACACCGTGTCGCCTTGCTTCAGGTTGTACGTCACGGCCGTACGGTTGTCCAACTGAAGACGAGACCGGACACCAACAGACTGCCCAGAACAACCCCCCAGCCCGTGAGGGACGCATCGGTTTGAACTGTAAGAGCTGGCGTCGGGATTTCCAAAGGAGGAGACAACCAGCCGGGAACTGTGAGACACTTCTCCAGATCCCCGGCGAGCCCACAGACCGCCAAAGCTTGCTGTATAGGGCGCATACAGAGATAGTAGACAGAGGCAAGTCAGCGCTGGTGCTGGGGCTGGGAGAGGAATGACGACTCCATCTCCCGTACTCTGGTGACCCGGTCGGGCGACAAAGAGGCAAGACCCGAGAAAAACCAAGTCCTGGGTGGGTACCAGGTCAGATTTCGTGAGGTTTATGATCCACCCCAGTCGAACTACAATGTCTATCATCGTGTGGGTAGAATCTAGGCTCGCTAGCTGAGTTAGAGTGCTGAGCAACCAGTCATCTAGGTAAGGGTAACAACGCCTTCCTTGAGACCTTGCGAGGGTAGCCGGCACTAACATGAGCTTGGTGAACACCCTGGGGGCAGTGGATATGCCGAAGGGGAGCACCGTGAATTGGTAATACATCCCGTCATAAGAGAACTGGAGGTACTGCTTGAAAGATGGATGCATTGGCACATGTAGATACGCATCCTTTAGGTTGATCGACGTAAGCCAATCGCTGGGCTGAACAGAGGAGATCACCGAGCGAAGTGTCTCCATCTTGAAGGACGGAACCTCTAGCATGTGATTCAACCCCTTGAGGTTGAGAATGGGACGGAACCCGCCGTCCTTCTTCGGAACAATGAAGTACGTGGAATAAAACCCCACCTGTTCCTCGCCCGGTGGTATGCGCTCTATTGCGGACTTGTCCAGCAAAGCCTGAACTTCGTCTCGCAGTATACCCGCCTTGACCGGACATGACAGCACCGGAGTGCGACGTATGCCGGTGAACTCTGGCTGGCCTCGCTTCCACAGTGGTAGATGGCTGACTCTGACGGTGGATAGCACCCAAGTGTTGCTGGTAGCCTTCTCCCACTCCGGCAGGAATAGAGAGAGGCGGCCCCCCACTGGGACGTGTGGTAAGAGGGCGTGAGTGGTCCCCTGCAGATGAACTGGCTGGGACGGACCCGCGGCGACAGCCTGCAGGTCGGGGCAGACCCTTGCAACCGCTAAAAGGCTGCTGGGAGCCAGACGAAGAGGCCTGCTCCTTGCCCTTACCTTTGGCGGGACACTGAGAGTTCCTTGGGCTCCTCCTCCTACCTCTACCCAGCAGCCGAAGCCAGCCGGCAGATTCGGGCACAGGCTGCACCCCGGAGGAAGAACCTACTACGGGAGCGCGGGAGCGAGAAGCCCGCGGTTGCTCCAACAAGGCCTTAGAAGCCTTGAAGGAGGTAGCTGCTGCAGCAGCCTCCCGAATGACCTGCTGTGCCCCTGGAAACAACGTCGCTCCCACAGAAACGGAAGGGCCAGCAAGGTCTGCTGTGTTGCTGCCGAATAACAGGACGTAGACGGCCACAGCTTACGCATCCCCATGACTGCGCACATCACCGTAGACGCGGCAGACGGAAAAGAGTCTCGCGTCAGGTGGGCCTGTACTTTGGATAATTGGCGAAGCAGAACAACATTCGGGGAAACGTCCCCAGTGCTCCCTTCCGCCTCCAGAGCCGACCTTTGGATCGAGGAAAGGTACGCCTTGTGGACCACCCGCACCTGCTGCATGGCATTCCGGTAGACTTCCTAGTAAGTCCAGGTGTCCCTGGTGCAGGAGGACGCCTGCTAGGGCAAACGGTGGAACTAACCACCCTTGCTGAGGAAGCACCTGAGGAAGCTGAGCCTCCCCCGAGGGCAACCGAAGTGAACACACACTCGTCAACCACCGGCACAAAGAACAGAGAATCATCCCCCAGCTGATACCTCTTAAGGAGTTCGGGTAGATCGAACCGGAGGCGTGAACCAACCAGGAGGGGATCCATCACGTCTTGCACTAGGGAAGGCAAGATACAGAAACTGTGTCTGCGAGGGTTGCCTCACCCGCCTCATCCGGCAGGCGGAACTCAGTCGAGTCCGAGCGACATGTCGGCACCGCGGCTTGGGGTATATACTTGGCAATACGTTGCCTAACCTCCCGGAGAGCCGATGAGAAACGGAAAGTACCCTCGACTCCTCGACCTCCCCAACCTCCATAGACTCGGCATCCGAGCCCGAGTCAGAATTCGGGTCTCCACATGTAGAGGAGCCGAACTCCGACCCGGTGGGAGGCCGAACCACAGAAGCCGCGTAAGGGAAGAGCCCAAGGAACTCTCAGCTCCGACAAACGACACAATACGAGATTGAGAATGAGAATGCGACTTATGCAAAGACCTAGGTTTAGCTTGCTTAGCCTTTTTGGCCATGGACGGGGGAACCTCCTGGGTCAGTTCCCCTCCCGCCTCCCGTAATTCCTTATAAAAAAGGAAATCAGCCGCCCGTTCTTCTGGGCCTGGGGGGAAAAGGCTATACACAGTTCACAGATGTCAGGGTTATGCCCTGCTTTCTCTAAACAGCATAAGCATTTGTCATGCTTATCATCTCTAGGGATATTCTGCCCGCAGACAGTACACCCAGTAAACGCCTGAAAGCAAACACGCAAGCATGTAGCTAACGGCTGAACACAGCAGCATAAATATACACCTACAAAACATTGAAAATTACGTGAATGCGACAACGCGACATGAAATACTTGGTTAATAACGCAATATTTCAACCACGTGGCACGCTAAACTTCCCGCCATGGACTAGCAACACGTGCGTAAACGACGGGAAAGATAGCGTAAAAAATTAATACAAAGTCACATAAATGAGAAATAACAGACTGCAAAGTCAATAAAACGTTTCTCTCAAGAACGAATAAAGACCATACATACAGTAGTTGAAGTCTCAGACATTCTTCTCAACAGAAGTAAATCAGCTAGTAACTCGGAACACGTGTGAACGCTTGAATGACAGCAGAAGGAATGATGATACAGGCCTAGGTGCTTACCTGGTTGGCTGCGCATATGAAGGAGGGAGGTAACTCCACATGGTGGAGGCCATATAATAGATGAACAGATTTTTATTTATTGTACAATATTTTTATTAAAACATTGATACAACTGTCACATGACATTTTCAGCCGCAGAAAATGCATATATGTACCCCAAGGACGATCTCTATGAAAAAGAATGAGTCTTGACCAGACAATCCAGTGGTCAACAGCATGAGCATCGATCTACGCAATTAGGAACCGATGACATCTGCAACCAAGTCAGCGAGCCTGACCAACCGATCCCAATAGTCGCCTCTTATGACAAGCATGGGTTACTCGACTGATAATTACAACTGTCGTATCTCACCTGGTGGAGCCTGCTCTCACTGTTGGCCAGGGCAAACATGATCTGGGTGACTCCCTGCGTACCCAAGATCAAGTTGCCCACTTCAAATGGACCCTGAAACCAGACAAAACTGTTAGTCCAAGAGTAACCAGGAAAGTCTTATACAATAAACAAAACAACAGCTTTAGCACTGTTCCCTGCCACAGGGAACACTGGAATTATGTTTGCTCACATAGCATGGAAGTAAATGTTACCAATAATAAAAATGTCACATAAAGCTTAAAGAAAAGGATCATAAACACAAGGGTTGCTTCATGTCATCAGAAATAAGTTGTCAATAGGATATAAATACACACAACAAGCCCCTTCTCTGGTAGACTTCAGTAACTTCATGTAGCCTGTGCAGTTTCTGAGTATGCTTATCCAGACACTATGTCTATCACTGTATGCTCAAAATTAAAACAACTGCCTCCGTGGTGTAGTGGTTAGAGCGTCCGCCCGGAGAACGGAAGGTCCCGTGTTCGATCCCCGACCGCGTCATGACGTTAAAATATGGTACTTGTTGGTCCCTGCCTGGCGCTCGGCATTAATGGGTACAACAAGGACTGGTCGGCTCGAAGTCAGTATAATGTGTCTGAGTGGGGTATTCATGCTTCACTGCGGCATGGTATCTCAGTGGGCTAGCACTATAAAACCAGCTTCAGTCTGGGCTAGTACAAGCAGCCGCACATACACATACACACGCATGCACGTCGTAATATGAGAGAAATATTCTCAAGCACGACGATAAACCCAATTTCCCCTCACCTCACCTCAAAATTATAACAAGTAGCAAGGGAAATAACTCTTGAAAAAGATGAGTTGATGTGTGTCAGGTTTACCTGTAGCAAGGTGGAGATTCCCTCAATGGCCTCGACCTTTGATTCCATGTCTTCTTCACTAAACAGTTCCCTGAAAGAAAGCACATACTTCTGACATATTCAAATCATCAAACTCAATATAGCATATTTCACAGATGCTGATTTCTCAAACCAAGCATCTGTATTTTCTGTTCAAATCATGAAGATACTTGTCAACTCCTGGCAATGATTATATGAACATGAGAGAGCGAGAGAGCGAGAGAGAGATAGAGAGAGAGCGAGAGAGAGAGAGAGAGAGAGAGAGAGAGAGAGAGAGAGAGAGAGAGAGAGAGAGAGAGAGAGAGAGAAATGGGCTTTGCACCCATGTGAGGAATCGAACCCGGGCAAACGCTTTAACCACAAAGCTACCCCACCACCCCCAGGGTATGAACGGTGTCATACTTGAACATATGGCAACAGTCATCACTAGGTCTGAGTAAGATGAACATGTGATCTACAACTGTAGAACATGTTGTTTATACCCTTGTCACACTGACACTTTAATGAGATTGGAAAAATGGACTATTTTAAAAAAGATTGAAGGTGATTGAAAACCCTACCAACAATGCACCAGCTGAACATAGACTGTAGTTCAGCCACTGTATACACACAGCATTCACGAAAGTAACAGGCAAGGAAGGTATACAATATTTACAAGCATGTGATTAAAACCAATGTGTCACACTTACATTAACAATCACCCACACTTACTTGAAAAATGCTGTACACTGGTCCTTGAACTTGTCTCTCAAACCGTCACTGCTAAGGTCATCATAGATCTTAGACAGGGCAACGGAGGCATGCATGCGTGTATTCTCTGTGACAGGAAGTGTATGATACTCCTTCACAGTGCCGGCCACTGTCAGGAGCTTGTCAACACCTGGGATAAGAAAGAGTGAATTGATCAATCATACACAATACACTGAAGTAGAGCAAGCTGGGTAGAATACAACTGTAAACAGTGTTTCACACACATACCAGGATACAAGGTTACATAAGTGAAACACCTAAAGTGACACAGGTTGTTGATGCTAACAGCATTTTTGATTCTCACAAGCACTAATAGCATGGTGCTGACAGATTGAGAACATGAACCCATGATCAGCTGATCCTGGCAGAAAAGGGACACAACTCCTTAGATATGAAACACTGATAAGTTCAGGATTTGAAGCAATAACAATAGGATCCTCAAATGAAAGGGGCACAACTCTGCACAACAATGTTTCAGACAACATACAATGCTAAAGTAAGGGATTCCAGACAAACATCAGCAGATTCTGGCAGGAAAAGGGATACAACTCTGAACAGGAAACAATGTGGCATCAAGGGATATACTGAATGAGTGAGTGAGTTTAGTTTTACGCCGCACTCAGCAATATTCCAGCTATATGGCGGCGGTCTGTAAATAATCGAGTCTGGACCAGACAATCCAGTGATCAACAGCATGAGCATCTATCTGCGGAACTGGGAACTGATGACATCTGTCAACCAAGTCAACGAGCCTGACCATCCCATCCCGTTAGTTGCCTCTTACGACAAGCATGGGTTACTGAAGATCAATTCTAACCTGGACCTTCACGGGTGGATATACTGAAGACTGATATATATGGTACCTGTATAAGTAGTGACTTGATATCAGAAACTGCAGCTTCATGCTCACTCATACCTTCGTGTTTGATAAACTTGTTGGTCCAGTTGACGCCTTCTTTCCAGGTGACGTGTTTGATGAGTAGTTCAATGGCATTGTCTCGCCCAACTGCAGATACCTTCCCATTGCCAACCATGTTAATCAAAAGCAGGAACACTTGGTCAACGAAGCTTTCATCGTCTTCCTCTGTAAAACAGATACATCATGTGATATACAATAGACATTGCAAGTCACATGACACCAATATCAACTAGCTCTATTACCGAACTTTGAAACAGATTATATTAGAACTACGCTTGTTACCAACAAGTACCATATTTTAACGGTTGTTTGTTACGATTAATTTGCATACTCAATGGATTGAACGGTATCCCTTATGAATTCAATTTGTTAATCGCGATCACTCAAATTGAATATTCATGAATTTTTTTATTGGAGTTTTTCAAATGAATTTGGGTGTGTCCAAACGGTATATGCAAAATGGAATATATCCAAGCCAGGCAGATAATACTCAACAGCATGTCTGTATATTTTATTTGACAGTATTGTGGTCACTGGTCATTGTCCTGATAAATTAGCACAATCAGTGTGGTCAAAACAAGTCAAGGAATTTATTCATTACTGTTTCGAGGAATATCATGAACAATACATCAACCACTGACTTGTTACTGCATCCCAATATTTGTGATGTGTCTCATATTGACCTCAAAGCAGGGTATGAAACTCCCAAAAATTTCACCCAGACCACAGGGCTGGTAAGATGTAAAACTTGCAAGACCTGACCAAAATTAACCTGCCCGCAAATAATTTAGGTTTGACAAGCGATGTAGCTTATCATCTATTTGGAATTCATCATTTATTTTTACGAGTTAATTGATTAATGATTTCTTATCCTGAAATATGATGAATATCACCATATACATACATTTTAACTTGAACGTCTGGCAGGAGAATTTGAGAATGTGGCAGTCCATGTTCTTGGCGGTCGGGCAGGCAGGTATTTTGAACCTGCTCATAGTAGATTCCCTAATTAGAACATTGACCAAAATAGAAGAATAAATGAAATAACTAGTTCAGCTAGCTTTCAACTAATACACACACAAAAACATTATACAAAATCAGGAGAATTCATAGTTTAAATTTTTTATTAAAATCTAAATATTTTAGATATTTAAATACTTACCTTACCATAGGTCTTATGCATATTACCTCAAGCTCCGCTTAAAGAGATCAGACAGTCGTTGATTCGCCATTCTATAGAACGGCCACCTCGTGTATCGACGAGTGTAGAGGCAACGGAAGTGACGTGATCTCCCCTCACGCGCAAGCGCGGTCCATCCAAAATCACTTTTACTGACCAGGTCCGAAGAGCCCAGAGAGGAGGAGCATCCAGCGTTGGGAGGGAGTTACCGCCCTATGGTAGGTAAGTTTAAATATCTAAAATATTTAGATTTTAATAAATTCTTTAACTTACCTTACCATAGGTCTTATGCATATGGATTCGACAGTAGGCGGTGTCGGGCTCAGAGGACCGGCCCCACGAAAAACCCACATGCCAAGGGAAAACCAGAAGAAACTACTGAATCGCCAGACTGTCGCAGGAGGCTTCTGGAACAGGAGACAGATAGTAACTAAAGGCAACCCTAAGGGAAAACAAATACACCCAGAGTGTAAGTTAACCTGAAGACCAGAAGGTAAGAAGTAGTTACCAATGGGCGTGTAGGACGGTGAGTTGCTGAGCAACCACCAGTGGACCAAACGATTGAAGACCTTCCACGCCCCTCGACGGCCAAATCCCCAGGTAATGACTAGCGAAGACAGTAGAGGACTTCCAAAACAACCCTCCATGATGGCTGGAACGGTGCAGTTTCTGTGGAGAGCCATGGTGGATGCCAGAGCCCCTAATCTCATGCGGTTAGTGGCTGTAGGATGAGGCAGATCTTGCTAGATCGTGAGGCGTCAGGATGGTAGTACGGAGCCAGAGCCAGTGTTTATTCTTATTAACTTCACCTTTGGCCACAGAAGACAATCGGATGAACAGTCTCTTCACGATGACTGCGCCCTGGAAGATGACTTGGCAATATAAATGTCTTAAGTGCCCCTCACGGGGACAAAGCAGCTGTTCCTCAGCGCCAGAGGTCCTAGAATGGAAGACAAAGGAGGGATGGAGAAGATCCTATCCGGCTTGTCCCGGCAGCTGGTTCTTGGCCACGAAATCCCAAAAGCAGTCCGAGATGAACAAGACCATGCCGTGACTGCTCAAAACGCGCACCCTGGTGACATCCAATGCGGATCTCACTAACTCCTAGCTGCTGTGGCCAGGGCCACGAAAGGCTGTCTTCCTGGAGAGGTTCTCAAAAGAAGCCGTGTCTAAGGGCTCATAAGGGGACCTCTCAGATGACTTAAGAACGACGCTTAGGTCCCAAGCCGGAGGACGGAGCTTTGCTCTCTGGTCCTCCAGCTTAAACGCTTTGAGGACGGCGATGAGTTCTGGCACCTTGGAAATCTTTTGTCGCGACTTGACCGCCAGAACGGAGTTAAGAGCCGATAAATAAGTTCCTATAGTGTTGCCCTTGAGACGCCGGACTTCCGAAGAAAGAAGGAACTCTGCTATAAACTGAGGAGAAGCCTTCAACGGGTCCTGGACTTCTGTGCACAAACTTCTCAAAAGAAACCCACTTATCATCATAGAGTGATCTTGTGGAGACTCGATGATGAGCACGAGCAATAACCTTGGCGAATACCCGTGGAGAAGCCCTTTGGCCTTCAGCTTTTGCAGATGATCCAACCGCGACAGATGAAACCGAGTCGATCGGGATGCCACTGTCGACTGTGGGGATGCCTGAGCAGGTGAGGCCAGTCTGGTAACTGTTATGGACTTCTTTCGCCAGATGGCGCGAGATCTGGGGAACCAGGTTCTGGCTGGCCACCAAGGCGCACTCAAAAGCAGACTGTCCGCTTGACCTTTGCTATTACCGCTGGCAACAGAACTGGTGGTGGAAAGGCGTGACATCGCCCAGACCCTCCCACGACAAGGACATGGCGCCGATCGCCCATGCCGCTGGATCTGGAATCGAGACACGCATAACGGCAGCTGTGTGTTGAAGCCAAGTCGCAAACAGGTCGATCAGAGGGCTGCCCTGACTGTGACAAAGAAGTTTGAACGCTTCTGGATGTAGCATCCACTCTGTTGGAGACGGTTTGCCCGCCTTGAGAAGCGTCTGCCAAAACGCTTCTTGCACCCTGGGATGTGTCGGGCTCTGGCGCTGATGCCATTGTCGCCCAGGAGACTGGCCAGCTGGAACGCCTGCTCCAACAACTGTTTGACCTGGTCGCTCCCTGATTGTGAATCAACCACACCACCGTGGAATTGTCCGGACGCTATCAGGAGCCTGGTGTTCCGCTAACAGAGGCACCGCAGTGTCGAACCGCTAAAATGACTGCTTGCAGCTCCAAGTTGTTGATGTGCCATCCTAGCTCGGTGCCTGACCACAGCCCCCGAGGTGGTCTGGTCGCTGAGGTGAGCACCCCAACCTTGAAGAGACGCATCTACTTAACAGTTCGCGGATCGCGGAACAAACTCTGTCAAGGAGACTCCTGCGCGAGACGCTCGACTGGCTGCAGTCCACCAACGGAGGTAAGCGCGGAGATGCAGGGGCAAAAGGAACCTCAACTGAAGGTCGTCCGGCCTGGATGTAAGGCAACAGGAAGTTTGTAACGGCCGAAGCATCAAAGCGACCTCTGAGCTGCCAAGTCCTGGGCTGAGGTGAGGAGACCTTAAGAGGGACTGCCACTCTCTGAGCACGAAGCGGCTGATAGACCTCGGTTGGCTAGAAACTGACAATCTTTCTCCAGCGATCTAGCGGAATCCTGACAAGGTCGTGCCAATGTGTCAGGAAGAGGCCTCCTATAAACGCCAGTTCCTGGGGCGGCTCCAGGTGGGATTTGTCTATGTTGATAATCCATCCCAGTTGCTGCAAGAGATGAATGGCAAAGTGCATCTGTTTTGCGAAGCAACTGAGGGTCGAGGTGGTTCATGAGACAGTCGCCTATATAAGGGTCGGTCGATGCCCCTGAGATGGAGGAACCGGGGTGATCGGCGCAGGTAATCCGGTAAAAAGCCACGGGCCGCCGGAAATTCCAAATGGAAGCACTTTCCACTGGTAGTGGGACCCGTTGAAAAGAACCTCAGGTACTTTCTGTGACGGTGGTAAATGGGCACATGCAGGTAGGCATCCTGAAGGTCGAGGGCTGGCCAACCAGACCCTGGGCTAAAGCTTGGCTCAGAAGCTGTTCCAGGGACACCATGCGGAAGTGAGGCGGTTCCGGAAGATAAAGGTGGTTGAAAACTGCCATGTTGTGAATCATGCGTAGTTCCCTGAGTCCTTCTTTGGGAACCAGGAAGATTGGTGAGTAGAACCCCGGGACTGTCGGGGTCTAGCACTGTCTCTATAGCTTGTTTTGCGTAACAGAGTGTGGATGCTGTCTGCTAGCAGTAACTGTTGGTCTGGAGCATACACACGTGACTGGGGCGTTGAAGTCAGAGATGGCGCTTTACACGGCGATTGGCAGCTTGTAACCGGTCCTGAGAATGTTGGTGATAAACGGTCTTCCAGGATTGTCCAATTGGGCCAGAAGATCCCCAGTCTCCCTTCTACTGGAGTAGGGACGAACCGGCACGACTGGGGCGGAGGTCCCAGTCGTGTTGGGTCGCAACTTCAGCCACGAAGCGAAGGGCGCCTCCCTTACCGCCGGCGGGCCGGCTGGGGTCCCGGGACGATCCTGCTGACGGCGCTGAAAAACAGGTTCGGATCTGCCACGCCACGCCCTTCTGCCAGAGGCGCCGCGACGGAGTCTCTTCTCGACGTAACGGCGCTTCCCTCTACCCCTTTGCAGATGATCTGCCACGAAAAGCCGGTAACTCAAAGCTTCAGACGAGACAAAGAAACCTCCGTATTGGTAAGCTCTGCGTGTTCCTTATACACCTCGAATGCCATCATTAAAGAGGAAACGAGACGCAAAAGGGCTCTTAACAGTTTCCTTTTAAACTCTTCCTGCCAAGAACAGGGCTCCAGGAAACCCATCCGCCCAACAACCGCTGTCATGGCCAGAGCCGCCCGAGGTGCGCCAGCAAATCATGCAACACCTTGCCCTGCCATTGAAACAGGGTGGTAAGATGTTCTAACCTTGGACGTGTTGTCTTCCGTCAGATCCCAAGCAGCAGCCGAAGTTGCTGAGGCCAACGCTGATACCGGCTTCAACATCCGGCTGAGTTCTGCATCAATGGCCAACATCTTGGAGTCCTGCACTCGGTAGGATGCCTGTGGGGAAGCCGATAAAGCTTTTGAGGGATTCCGCTCATGAGCCGCCTCCATCGGCAAAATCCAAACTATGAATCTTGTAATCCCCTTTATGTGACTTAGAGCCTTTATCGCGGGTATTGAGAGACAAAGTAGCAAAAATCAGCGCCCAAAGAAGCCACAGCATCGCCACCATCGGGTGAGGCGGGAGGAGTAACTCGGAGAAGACCGAATAGCCTTCGGTCGGCCCGAACCTGAAGAGGGAGAAAGGACAATCCGCAGTCTGGTCGGCAATCCAGTCAACACAGCAGAGAGAGGGAGGTAGGTGCCCCATCATCATCATCCTCTTGCAACATTTCCTCATTATAATCGGAAAATAGCGCCTCAGTGTCCTCCCAGGACACGGTAGGAGGCAGTAAATCGCTGACCCGGCAGCAGGCTTCGTGGATTACCGATGACAACTGAGAAGCAGCACTCAAAGTAACTGTCGGGAACGTGGACGCCAGCGGCGAAGCGCGTAACAGGAGGTGACCTTGAACGGGACCGACGGTAACGCTTCTACCACGCATCGGTGACCGTGGAGCCTCCCTATCCTTGGAACGTGCGGGAGAGCGGTGACCTTGAGTCAGACCGACGACGGCGTAAGAAGCGAGAAGTATCCAACTAAGACGAGGACTCTAGACCGATGATGCTGCGAGGAGACCTGGAACGAGATCGTCGAGAACGATGGGAACGCCGCCGTCCTGACGTCGAAACGCTCTTCCATTAACTGACGCTTGTGGTTCTCCTCTCTAAACACTGTAGCCTTCCTGGGATACGGTAGTCTCGCCAAAGGCGTCGAGTTATGCGCTGGCGCTGGCGCCGGTACAGGCGCCGGGCGCCAGCATGGGCTGCCGGCGTCGGCGTCGGCCATTAACAGGCGCCGGGCGTCCGCATGGGCGCTCGGCGAGGCATCGACGCGCTTGGTTGAAGCAACAAGTCAGCAACTGGAGAATCAAGTGCCACAAGCGTCGGCAGAGGGACAAAGCTAGGCAACGGCGCTGGAACGGTGCTAGTTTAGGCTCGCAGCTGCTGCGGCAAAAGGAGCGTCCGGCAACTTCTGAACCTCCGGATGCGACAAAGCGTCCGGGTGGGATAGGTCAACAAAGCGTCCAGACGGCGCTTTGCTTAGAAGCGTCAGCAAACGAGGGGCGCAGGGTGGACGGCTGATCTATCACAGGAGAAGAGCGTCCGACCGGGCGTACGAGGGGAGAAGACCGAGTCCACAGAAGAAACAGGGAAGACATTTTCCTCTTCCGCTGTGACAAAGCGTTTCTTCTTAGCTGAGGTAGGCCTTGAAATCTGCGACGGACAGCGAGTACAAAAAGTGACAGCGCTTCAATGGAACAGGCAACAGTCGCACAGTCTGGGCACCAGGGTGTGGGTCCTTGCAGACTTCTGCACCTTGCAGATGCAACAAAACTGCCGGTCATGCACACCAAAAGCTGTAACACACAAATGTGAAACGTAAAAACCTAGAAACAACCCCCTGCAGACGAAAAATGGAAGCACCCCTCCCACAAGAATGGGCACGCCAAGTAAGTGGGACAGTCGTGTAAACAACCAAGATGGCTGCCCCACACTGAGCCGGCGCTGAAAAACACACAAATTAGGCAAGAAAAAGGAGGTACACAAAAACAAGCATGAAACAGAGGTGGAAGAACCCTAGAGGTATCAAAACACCCAAACATGCCGATCGTGGAAAAACTCTCGAACGTGGGGACACACCCCGCCGAAGTGAAAAACATAAACACGAGGTAGCCAGGTAAGTGAAGTTACTTGTAAATTATGTTCTTCACCCACAGAGAAGAGACATAAGATAGAAAAACATACATACCAATAACTTTAATATCTGAAATCTATTAGTAAGTGTCTGAAAACTTAGCGAAACAAAAACGTCTGACAAGCAAGACGCTTGAAGTAAAAGTGATTTTGGATGGACCGCGCTTTCGCGGGAGGGGAGATCACGTCACTTCCGTTGCCTGTACACTCGTCGATACACGAGGTGGCCGTTCTATAGAATGGCGAATCAACGACTGTCTTATCTCTTTAAGCGGAGCTTGAGGTAATATGCATAAGACCTATGGTAAGGTAAGTTAAAAATTAAATGAATAATTCGGACATAGTACGTCATATACAACAATGACTATGAGTGAGTTTAGTTTAAGCCGCTCTTAGCAACATTCCAGCAATATCACTGCGGGGGACACCAGAAATGGGCTTCATGCATTGTACCCATGTGGGGAATTGAACCCAGGTCTTTGGAGTGATGAGTGGACGCTTAACTACTAGGCTACCCCAATGCCCCAGAACCTTGGAAGGTTATGTATTGGATGGTCACTTACTAATCTGAAACTGGGGGAATCTGACACGCTCGCCTTTCTTCCGTTCAGCCTCATACTTCTTGACAGCTTCACGGTGCTTGTCCACCCCGGTGTAGTAGGTGATGATGTTCCCAGACAACACTGCCGACGAGTCCGAGATTTCTGCATTTGGAGATCCCAACATACGAAGAATCTTGGGTACTGACACAATATCTACTATTGCCTTGGACTGGAAGATATAAACAAACCCATAACAGAAACTATTAAGCATCATCAGTGTTCACTACACATATGATACCCACATGCATATAGACAGGGGTGCAGAGGCTCACAACTTTCCCACCTCTCACCTGGCTGAAGCATACTAAACAATTATATACACATGAAGTAAGTATGATGAAAGTATGAAAGAGTCTGAATTTGAAATTCTGGTGAATGCTGGTAGCACATTTTAACGTACATGAAATGTTGCTAATTTTTAAGTAGTACATTTGTTATTACCTAAGCAAGATGAGGACACTTTGTTTTACTTTTTCAAATGATCGATGACAACTGTCAGCAAGTGATAAGTCTGATATGTCCAAAGGGAATGGTGTATTTTCTAAGTTGGCAGTTAACTTTCAGTAATCATTGGACTATGTTTAAAAGTTATCACCAAATAAGTTGTCATAGCAATGATATACACCGATTTAAAGGTATGCTCACTCACTATTTAAACAAAACACTGTAGTAACTAAATTGCTATCAGTAGGGGTGTCTAGCAAGTCCTTATCACGTTGACACATTTGCTGTCAGTATTATTACAGTTTAGCAGTATTATGATCTTATATTCTTTACCCTTTTCATGCTTTCTTTGCTGAGGAGTGAGAGGACTCGGATTGCGGCCTGAACAATCTCCAGCTGACTTTCCTCCAACACTGCCATCAGCTTTACGATGCCATTCTCGCGACAGATCAGTTCTGATCCTGTCTCTTCTCTGGCTAACACGATCAGGTTGTTCAGGGCCTGGAAACATGAACATTGAAGTACATGACGGATGGTACAGCTGATTTCCATGTTTGGCAGCAATACTTTAATCAAGAGGTTTTCACTCAAATCTATCAATAATGTTAGGGCAATAATGGCACTGAGTTATTAAACATGTGATGTCTTTATGAGTAATAAATGAATGTCTGAGACATAGTTTGATAAATGCCAGCAGTATATTGCATGATAAATAGCAATAAACTCACAGTGTACTTGCAATAAATCAAGAATGATGACATACCCATCAAACACTGAATCAAGGTGACGTGTAAGAAGGCCTTAACAAATGTAAAGACCTACCTGTTTCCGCTTTTCAAGTTCCACTGTTTTGTCAAAAGCAAAGTTGAACATCTGTGTGACTCTTGAGACTGTGCTGTCACGGGTCTTAGACTGAAACATAAGGAAACATTGGGTAGTCATTACATATTGTTCCATAGTAGCTAATTTCTGCAAAGACTTTGTAATTCATTTCATTATTACTCATAGCTACATATAGCTAGAATTGGAACATGAATCAGGGCAACCCATGCTCACTACTATAGCAACCATGAATATGTGGGCTAGAATTGGTGTTCAGCAACCCATGCTACTATAGTCGGTGGGTGAGGGCTAGAATGGTCAACCCATGACTCGGGGTGAGATCATGGTCAGACTCACTATAGCAACATGAATATATGGGCTAGAATTGGTGTTCAGCAACCCGTGCTTGTCGGTGGGTGAGTCGGTGGGTGAGATTGAGTGGTCCAACTCACTGATCTGGTTGATGCATGTCATTGAAACATATCTGTGTAGATTGACACTCATGATGTCAATCACTGGATTATCTGGTCCAGACTCGATTATTTACCGACTGCTGTCATACAGCTGGAACATTGCTGAGTGCAGCACCAACTTCAAACAAACAAACAAACAAACACTGAACACACCATGAACACTGGGAACTACATCCTAACTTCTTTTGCACTCTGTAGCGGTGACATTACTGACAACGCATCACTGAATCGCGAGGAAACACATCATATATTCATATTTTCACAGTTAATTTTGTTTGTTTGTTTAATACCACACACAACCCTCTGATTGAGATCATGAGCATCAATCCATGCAATTGGGACACAATAACATGCATCATTTGACACTTGATCCTGTTAGTCAGGTCTTACATCAAGTACAGGTTTGTGATGACCAATTCTAACCTGAGTTAATTTTTGTATCATGTATTATTTCAAAAGATGAATGACAAATCAATACTGACACAAATGTAGCATATGATTTTTGTCCATCAACAACAACAACAACAACAACAACAAGAGTAGCAAGTTGTCCTACCCTCTCTTGGATTATTGGATTAAGCCGCTTAAATATGGGCATGACAGCTGTATTCTTGGGGTCTATTTTCATGACAACTGCAGCATCTCGGAAAGCTTCTTCTAGTTTGTCCTGCTTTTCATATGCCTGACAACGTCTGAACAGAGCCTTAGGGTCACTGGGAGTCAGATCAAGAGCTGCAAAATCAAAACAGAAGACATTTCTCACAAGTGTCGGAGAATAATTTCACACATGAATGAAAAAATGAATGAGACTGGGAATACGTCTTGGATACATCCATATGACACATATACCGGTAACCCTTGTTTTGTATGTGTGACAAGACTTCTTCATCACTAGTCATAGAGGACTCTGTGTATCTTGGCATCCAGTTCCTTCACTGAGTTTTGCAGTGTACAGAAAAAAACACAATTTTTCACGATGTATAAATATTTTTACCACAGTTTGCCTGCCAAGAAAAAATAGTGTGGAATCCTGATATATAGGCCTTATATTTAAGTCATCAAAACAAAATGCTAAGTGCTTAAGAAACACTGAAAATTAATGTTGATAAAGATGCATACTACTTGAAAGACACTGAAGAACACATGTCACATGTCCACAGCTAATCTTGCATGCCATGACTGATCAACTATAGTCGGATTAAAGAAGAAACTGAATGTTCTTTAACTTTTTTTGAGTAGTATACATGTGTTAGAGCTTACACTTTGTTGCTTCATCAATAACCTTCTCATACTCCTCCTTCTTCAGATAACAAGCTGCTCTGTTTTTGTGTAAGACTGACTTCTCTGCCTCCTTCAAGGGCCCGAGTTCCAGAGCTTGTGTATAGCAGGCTAAAGCCTTGTCGATATTGCCATCCTTGAAAAGCTGGTTTCCTTCTTCCTTCAATGTTTTGGAGTCAGCCATCTACGCAACATACATTTACAATTGTAATGGATCTGGATGGGTGAGTGAGTTGGGTTGAGTGAGTGAGTGAGTTAAGTTTTACGCCGCACTCAGCAATATTCCAGCCATATGGAGGCGGTCTGTAAATAATCGAGTCTGGACCAGACAATCCAGTGATCAACATCAGGATCATCGATGTGCGCAATTGGGAATCGATGACATGTGTCAACTAAGTCAGTGAGCCTGACCACCCGATCCTGTTAGTCGCCTCTTACGACAAGCATGGGTTACTGAAGGTTCATTCTAACCCAGACCTTCATGGGTAGAGTTGGGCTGAGTGCTGTTTGGAACAGTACTCATTTATATCGCTGTGTGGCAGCTTAACATGGAAGGAAATACTGAAGTGAAGCAAGTGTCAGATGCTTACCTCTTGGGTGAAACCCATGAACATAGGTATGATAGAAACATACAAATGATGATACAAACAATCTGGGCAAACCAGGATTCAAACCCACAATCACAGGATTCTGTATGTCTAAGGGACACAACTCTGCACCGTGAATTCTGGTGCATCAGACAACTTGTGATTACAGTAATCATGGCAACACTTACAAAACTGCCTTTCATGTGATGGTTTCAGCTGTGGTTGCCACTTTCACATGTGTTAGAAAATAGATACTAAAAATACCATCCTTTTAAAAAATGTTAACATAAAAAAAATTTCAAGTGTGTAGAATTGCATATGAATTTAATATGACCTATGATAATATACTGTCCATGCTTCCTGCAAAGGTCTATATACTAATATTACGAATAACGGTGACATGCATGATACACATGAAACATAGGAATTAAATTCTGGATTTACTGACACATTGCTAATATGTCATATATCCCGGTGTCAGGGGTTTTCGACGATGTAAGACAAACACGTATTTTTTATCTGTAATACCATTTAAAGTTTTTATTTTACTAACCTTGAGTGATAAAGGATATATTCATTTATGTCACACAAAAATATCAAGTGTTCCCTACAAAAATAGTGTTGATGGCATCGTATCAGCGAAACTGTTGCCGCTCGTAACATGCGGGTATTTTGTATGGGTTTTCGACGATGAGCCATACTTTTTGCTCCGCACTCCGAGGGAGTGTTGAGATCACGTGGCTTCCTATTTATATATTGCCTGTCACCAGCAGACGGCTGATATCTAACTGAATTTTCGCTTTCTATTTTTTGTTATAAAGGCAACTGATTTTGCATCTGAAGTGGTATTAACGATCTCGGGTAAATAATATTGATGTTTGTTTGCTTTTTATATAACTTTACTTCCCGATTTCCATTGTCAATAAAACGTCTCACGACAGCTACTGGGCACCCGCCCTACCAATGAAACTGTTGGTGCACTCCGCACGCACACGTACTCCCCCGATATAGTGCGTGCAATGCAATCGTCAAAATCACCAGAACGTCGAATTCAGCTTGTGTTGGGATATATGAGACATGTCAATACACAGTTTGACTGTAAAGGTAAAGATGTGGAATTAAGCAGCTAATAGGTAAATAGATTACTTTATTGAATTACATGTAAGTTTTTTGCTTACGTCAAGTCATTGTAAGCACCTAGAAAATTATTTATGGCAGTAATAATCATTGCCACATGCCCTTTTAATGTTTCACGACTGGACACATTTTAAGGATAATGGTTTCTGACAGTTGTGCTATATTCATAACTGTTATGGAAAAAAATTAATACCACAAGGTGCAAGGATGGTACGTTTCTGACACTCGTAAAATTAACAGATCTAGAATATTTGAGCAACAACAAAAGTGCCCGTGCTCTTCCCATTCTAACACTAGAGGATACGTAGAAACCAACAACGGCAAATGAACGCTCATCTACCGAAAGCGAAACGTTTGTAGTGTAAAATGACCGGCTGTCTCTGTACCACTGAATGGTTTGGCTAGCCCACATGTATCGTGATAAAAACTCGTGTCTTGCATATGATAGACATATACAACGAATATCCACCACACATAAGATGACAAATAGTAATCTCACCTCAAATAACTGTAGTCGGAACAGCCCACGAGCACCTGTATTCTTGAAGCGGAAATAAATGTTTTCTGTTCTTTCGGCTGTGAGAGTTCTTATAACTATTCTTAGAATATTCCAGAAGAATCGCAGCCACTCGTTGATTTTCGGCAGAATACAAATGTGGGTGGAGAGCTGTTGACGGTGTGTTTTCACTACAATGTTGCTACTTTGTGAATGATGAGTAACTTTTCAGTCATTAAAATAAATGTCACCTATAAAGGGGCATAACTCTAATGTGTCGTCTTGACGGGACATTTTCCAAATATGGTAACGGTAATTTGAGATGTGAGCTGTCTGCAATCGAAGGGTGTTCGTAACCTAACACTTTTATTACTTTCCAACATTAACATTTTATTGTGTATTGAATTTCAACTAAATTTGATCTTTTATTTGTTGAATGATAAATGAGGAGTTTGCTTTGTCTTAACCGAATTTTTACCACTTCTTTGACTTGATGTGTTAAACTTTCAGAAAAAGAATTTTTGTTACAGAAACGGAAACTTAAAAAAAAAATCATATCCAGATTTGCATCATTATATCGTAATCACAAACAAACCTCCGTGTAACTCATCCAACGCAATTCTCATTTTTCACATCTAAGATAAACAAGTTTCCTAAATGTAATGTTTGAAGACAGTCTATGTAATGTATAATTTAGTATTATCAATGAACTAGTTATATTTACAGTGCTCCACACAATTTTACATATTTCGTCAAAATATAGAAAGTAAATGACTTTTTTTACATATCTTTATGCACTGATCGAATGGGGACATTCCACACAGATGAACCGTATGAATGTATATCGTTGTTGATTTATCATCCTCGATAATCTCCAAGGAATACGTTCCGATAAATCTCCACTATGCTTGTGGAGATTTATCGGAACATATACCCTGGCGATTATCGAGGATGTTGATTTATATGACATACTACAAACCAAGGGCAGCATCACGCTATCACATACAAATTAGAAACAGTATTTGTGTTCACATACCTACAGGCTTGGACGCAATAAGTGTGTCTTAAACAATACATAACGGAAAAAAAATATATATAGAAAATATCAATACCCAATGTAAATTATAAGATGGTTCATAATGCTATCTGGTGCCATTTATAATATTCTGAAAATGTAGCTTCTCCTTGAACGCATCCAGTTGCAATAGTTTCTCGATTCAAGGTTCTATGGTCATATTAGAATAGAGCTATTCTTAAGGAATGTATGCACAAGAAATAAATAATAAATAATACGTCTTGATGAAACCTCATTTAATAGGGGTGACCGAAATGGAAAACAGTGTTCTTGATTACACGTATATTGACACTGAGCCGTTAAGGTGGACTGATGTTGAATGTATGCATCCACTTTCACCTAAATGGTTGTGTTCGTTTATGATGATGATGATGATGAATGATTGTGATGATGATGATGATTGTGATGATGAATGATTGTGATGATGATGAATGGTTGTGATGATGATGATGATTGTGATGATGATGAAAAAATTCCGAATACAATAGATAATTTACATTATTACGTGTTCTGTAAAATATTAACAATTCATACTAATTTGTAAGACAAAAATCACCATTATTCATGAGGCCGTGTTTGAATTCACAGGGAGTAAAAACATGGGCTCAATTATCTCCCACATCTACTGGAATGGGAATTGGGTAATTAGCATGTCAACGTGATCGTGTATGTTGCCAGCTGGGGGCCCGGATGTGATTTCATGCCAGGTGCACATCGAAGCACGTGGGGGGTCATTAGCATGTTGTCACGTGATGCTGCTAGACCGAAAACTAACAATCAATCAATATATAGATTGAGTAAAAAAAATACAGAACTAAGATATTCATTCCAAGTACATCACAGTCAAATTACTATGTCTGATTTTTTTTTTCATTTGCAGCCACCATCAAACATAAGAGTATACTTTGTCCGCTAGCATATCATGTTCGAAAAGACATCAACATAGCCATCATTCTTGCGGAACATGATTTTGCAGTCACAGAAGTGTCCTAATCAATCAATGCTATCGGAGTTAATAGATTGAGTCTGCTTTATCGATCACGGTATTATCGATATATTGATGTTCATCTAACATTGTATGTATAACTGGTGAAAAACAAGATCATTTTTTGTGTCTAACAAAAGTAAGATTTGTTGAGACAAGTGAATGAACCCTTAGTCAGGTTTAATGCAGATTTTCATATATTTCATTTAAGGTTAAAGGTGTGCGCTATGAACGTTACAGACTTTTAAATTAGAGGCTTCAACTCTTTTGAAGGAGTTGGGTGTACATATTTTTTGAAGTACGGAGAAAACACTTAATTTTAAAAAGAAAATGTTTCAAAACTGGCAAACAAGACCTGGTTTATTTTAAAGCCCAACAAATTATTTAATTATGATGTCAAACACAGCGAGAACAGTATTTTTATACATGCACGGTACCTTTCACAATTAAATATAATTCATACCATGTAAACAACAACAAACACATATAATAATAATAAGTCCATTTGTATTGCGCTAAATCCACACTGACAGCATGCTCACAGCGCAGGCAAGATAGAACTTAGGAGTCACTTGTAAAACATAGAGAAAAGGTATGTCTTTAGGTTTGCTTTGAAACATGTGACTGTTGGGCTTCTTCTAAGGTGAGCTGGTAACTCATTCCAGTTCATGGCGGCCGCCACTTTAAGGGAACGAAAACCATAGGATTTCAACTTCCATTTTTGAATGTGAAGTAAGTTTTTGTCACTGGAGCGAAGCTATCTGCATGGAATATATATTGAACAATTTCTCTGAGATGGGCCGGAGCAGTACCTAGTATATGCACTGGTAGACAAGGGTTTAAACTTCAATCACGAGGTAAATGTCCTTAAGGTTATCAAAATCTGAGAATTAATTTTGTGGACACTCATATAATGTCAAGTTCCAAGAACTACCTTATACTTTTTGAATCAACAGGATTCAACAGTGAACCCTCAAACTTCCATTGCTATCTTATGACATCTATTCTGAAAATGATTCTTCCATATTTCAAAACAGTATAGATTTAACACCACATCCGTTCACAAAATAAGATATTGCAACCTAACAATGTAATATACTCATGCCAATAATGGTTGTCACAAACTACAGAGATAATTAATCATCGGATTAACAACCCAGAAGTCAGGGATCGGATAGCGGTCATAATTATTATTATTATGCTAACATTTGAATAGCGCTGATATCCAGCTCAGCTGCTCAAGGCGCTTATTTTTCCCCCTCGATCACCAAAGAAGCCCGGATCGTAATGCACATGCGCAGTAGAGGTCAAAGTTCGCTGATAACTATGAAAACTATGAAAATGTTGCAGTTTCATAGTTTTTCGTTGCAGTTTTTACTGTTTCAGTAGCGAGGCAATGTGTTTATGTTGCTATTTCCACGATTAATGTGGGCTTTTCTGAGTTTTTCTGCACAGTGGGAAAGTTTTCTTTGGTAGGCCTGATCACTGGATGTCAATCTCAACGGCAGGTCGTATTATCAATCTCAGCTCCTTGGGGAATATACAACTCTTGCATCCAGTCGGCACACCGAGTTAGTGTGGCTTTCCCATCCTTACATAACACTTATGCTGACAATATATTTTTCAGGCAGCCAACCTGTTGTTGACGTTGTTAATTACGCATGCACAATCATTGTGTGAAAGATTGGTTATTGACAATTCGACCACACGTGTTTCCCTAGGCTGTGTAAGACGATTACCGATTCACGGCCTTCCACCACCACTGGAACACGCTTCCTTTCCCGTCACGTGCCACAGGCCACTGTACATGTATATCTAAGTGAATCGAGTACAGAAAAGTCATCACTATGGAAACAATTAGATACTTCATCAATGGGAAGGTGCAGCATACTTAACTCGAGCTTCACACATTGTATTAGACACGTTTACGGTACTAACGTATAACAGTTAATACGTTTGCGGGCGAATTGTAACCTTTTCACACGCTATAGATATTATAAACCGTAATATTGTTATCATCCAGATATCCGCCATATAGCTGGAATATTGCTGAGTACGGCGTGAAACAAACAGACGTGTTTCCCGTTGTGTAGTCTCTCGTACAGACCGCGAAGCAAATAAATCCATGAAAGCCCACGCAAGTCTAGAAAATGTGGAAAAGTCAAGATTTCCGCAGCTTCTGAAAATGAAGAAAGTCTCATGGCTCCTTTTCATTATATATATTTTTTTTTTACTATTAACCTTTTCCCCAGTAAAATATGTTCATTTCAGAGACTAGTGGTTAGTCTACCCGTTGTGCTATCATCGGACTATCGCCACTGGTGAAGTCGGAACAACGGTAGTCACTTCACAGGGGCGTGTCACGCTTAGAAACGGCGTTAGAAACTTCTAACGCTGTTTCTAAGCGTAACACGCCCCTGTGAGTCACTTCCCATATATTAGTAACTGAAGCGGTGGTAAAAGATATATTTAGTAATTGTCTTGTAGGAAGCCTGCGGCTCACAGTAGGTGAATGTCTCCATCTCATAACTGTTGCGAAATGGCTTATTGTAATGCTGGACACAAAGTACACATATTTCATATACACAAGTGGACTGTAATCTGTACAACACATTTCAAGTTAAAACAAAATGTGAACATACTTGCAATACATTGACAATGTATCTATCCCCTTTCAAATACCCATTAGATCTACTTTAACAATATGTTCACCATAGACTCCACTGTCACTAAAACCAGATCCCAGAGCTCGCAGGAGTCAGTACACGCTTCAGGGTCTCCAGCGCGTCGCTGGTCTCTAGAGAATAAGAAAAGAAACTTCGTGTATGTTTCAAGAATTTGCTGAAGGTCAGCGTGCGAAATAGTTTCCAAATTTTGCTAGCCAGTCAAAAAGCTACTAGCCCACAAAATAATTCACTAGCCCGAAATTTTTAATGTAGAACGTAAGCAAAATATTGCAAAAGTAGATGAGAATAAGATATTGGCGGCACGACACGGATTTCATCTTTAAGCTGCTAATATGATGAACATTTTTATCAGGCCATAATCTTGCATGATTTAATGTGTATTATAATTTAACAAGTCGGAGAGAGTGATATATTTACAACATGAAACCATGAATATTCACTAGCCAGTGACTGCAGAGATTTACTGGCCCGACTGGATTTTTACTAGCCACGGGCTAG